TACACCGCCTGGGGGGTTCGGGAAATACATGCGAGATATTCGTTATTTAATGTTGTGTTTACTGTATGCAGAGAGGCGAGCGGCGCGGGTGGCGGGGCGGGCAGCGTTGGGCTGCTGGCCATGAACGCCACCCAGGTGCAGTGCGAGCCCCACGACTCGGTCGTACTCATTAAATGTAAGTAACACCCACTCATGTTCACCGTTACCTTTCAAGTGTACCAAGACATTATCTGTTATCAACGTTTGTGTACGCACGGTCTGCGTCACAGTTTGTACTGCACCGTGCGTCTGTTGATGCTGCAGTGCACGTTTTTTGTTAGTTTCAGTTCTACTAACTGCAATTTGGACTTAGCCGTTGACTTGAAAACAGCCCACTTGCTTTAAGCACCAGGATACTGTACCTAACTGTGTAGCAATGTAACATTTAATAATTGACAATATTGATCAAAACGTGATGTGCACATTAACATAATTCTATTTTATTCTATGGTTTTCCTAGGAGATCCAATACAACGACATGGCCAATTCTATCCAGTGAGTATCAAACAATGAGTAATGATGAATGTTGCAGATGCTCAACCTAGTATGGATGCTATAAACATTAAAATTAATCTTCATAGCCATGCTAGCAGAAATCCCCAGCACTCCTGTCCGTATTTATAGTTAATGTTGTGTTTATTTAAGTCGCTAAACATAATCGAGTAGTTGACTCACGCATCTAGATGGTCTCTCGACGTACTGCATCTTTGCATTTCATTTTTGTTATACTAAAATGACAGTATTTACGTATCACCGCTATATCTACAAACCCACATAGAGTCCCGCTCAACGTCTAGACTAGACACAATTATGTCTTATTACTCTAGATGCCACAGAACGCTTTTATGGAAATATATTTAGCTCAATAATGTTGATTTAAATTCGTCCGCCGTCGTCAGTCAACCTTATACATTGATTAATCAGTGTAGAGCACGGCTCGGCAATCGCCATAGATTCATTGGCCTCATTGCAATATGCTTTTGTATATTTTTGGACTGGTCTCCACTGCGTACTGCGTCAGTTCGCCGTGTTGTTTGCTGGCACGACTATTTGATTACATACGTCTTGATTATTGAATGTGCGTTCGTATTAATTCATGTGCCATGTAGCTATAGCCCAGCAATTTGTCATTACACGATCGCTTCTGCAATATTTATACGCGGTTATTATGTATTATTACTTGGGTCGAATATCTTCCCAGCGTGTGGTATGCATTATTATGAACAATCCGTGTTGTTGTAAACGCAATAGCGAGAGGCTCATCAATCGCATGTCAGCTGACTGAAATCAGCCTTGAACTCAACCGATGTAATTTATACAAATAAAAGCTATGGTACGTCTATCAAATACATCGGTCGGATCTTAATGTAAACTTCAGCTCAGAGATTCATTATAATTAGATACATGTAAATCATAATTGAATGCAACAACACCCAACTAACGTTTTCCTAAAATTTTACCGAAGTTAAAACTTCAACTTAAGCAACTGGATCACTGACACTATCGTAATGACCTTCAGGAATTCTAGAACATTAAACCAGATCATTAAAGGAGTCACTTAGTAACTCCTCATTTGGTCTATCATAGTTTCTTATGAATGAAGTTTGCTATAGTGTTTCCTCGTTTGCGGTTATTCTATTCATAGGTTTGCGGTGGTTTAAAACGTTTTCAATTCAGCAAATTGACCAGTGAACAACACGCAAAGCTTTGAAGTCTTTATTGTTGTAAATCCTGTAAAAACCCGATGGAAAATATTCAAAAACCATATAAAAAATATACAACAATGTCAGCTATCCCTTTACTGTCGCAACGATTAATATCCCCTTCTGAACTCGCCATTTCTACAAATAGTAACAATTGTGTTTATTTCCGTCACAGAAAGTTCTCCCGTTGTGCCGCCTCCGATGCGCTTAATTGATGCGGGAGGCGCACATATTTACAATTAGCTTTGTTTGCGTGGCTGATAATAATAATTACTGGACATAAGCCAATGTTGGTATTAATTTTTCAACATGGCTGCGGAGTGGTAGGCTCGGCAATTGCCACAAGCACCAATTATGTTAATCCGGGTTAGTTTTGAAGGGACTGTGCAGTACGCTGCACGTTGCGAACGATGCATTTATTAATTTGTAGAAGTTATGTGAGAAAGTTGTGTTGTTTTTGTGTGTGTGCCGGTTCTGTGCGACAATGCAGTTTACGTTGGTAATCGTCGTAAACAAAGTCAAGCTATGTCCGGTGATAGAGGAGCCGGTGAAACCAATAGGTAATTGAAAACGACCCTGTTACGTAATGTTTTGTCTAAACGATTTCTAACACAAAATCCATGTTTTTGGTTTTCTTGAGGTTATTAAGGAAATCGTAGTTACAATTAAAAACTCGCTTTTTTATGCTACATTCTATTAATTAGGAACCCACAATGGAATATGTTAAAGGTATTAACATTTTACATTACACTTTACTCGATGTACTTTTCAGGCTTCACGCCTCTGCCTATGTCGATAAGCCACAGACTAATTATATTATCAATACCTTATTAGCATATTCGACGTTAATGTATCTGTGTCAATGTTCAAAATTATCTATTATCTAGAAAATAAGTGGGTTTAGAGTATGTCTATATTAATTTGCACTTAAACGACTGAAAATAATATCGACATGCGTTATTGCCCAGCTTTCAGATAAACTCGCGAAATGTTTTGGCAAACACATTTAGCCTAGAATGATATGAATCATAACCAGCCTAATATATTTTATGCATGAATACGATGGAACCGTTAGCTAGGTAGGTGTCGCCAGCTGGAGCCCATGTGTGGCAACCACTACGAACAATATTATAAGTGACATTCTTAACCATCTGAATAAACGTAATTGGACAATTTCTATCAACCCATTGCCCTTATCTACTTGTGGTAGTAGCTGGACAAATTCGAAACACAATTGGCCGCAGTTAATCATCGTAACATCTTTAAATTCAGTCAGTTAGTAGGCCATTTTTATTGTTCTGGTTTCGAAAGTTTAGACACATAACATACAATATAAGTACAATATTCATTTTAATAATTTGAGCTATTATTCTAATACGGTGGTTTGAGTAACGAGAAAACCGCACGAGTGTTTTGAAATTACCTTAATTACTCACCCGAATTGATATTATTCCTTGTATTTCCTGACTAATGTCCCCCTGACTCCTGAATTGACGTCAAGCGACTGCACGATAAAGCGAAGGAACAACATAGGTACTGCATGTGCAGTAGAATGAGCCCACATACAGTGTGTGTGTGTTCCCGCACACCATGCGTCAGAAATTATGTCAAGCACATAATAATGATCGGCTTCAACGACCGGCTGCAACGCCCTATTTGCAGCATTCTTATCTAAAACTTGTAATATGGCCGTATGAATCATAATATCTAGACGGCCTAACAATGAAGCTGACTGACGGGGTGCGGCGCGGCTCTTCAGATCTCGCTATTCTCGACCCACTGCGATACTCAGATTATACTGACCGAACATAAATCGAATCTTGTTATGGACCTGCTATTTCGCTATTTACATTTACCTGCATCAGATTATCCCATCTAATGAGGTTATCGGCTTCCACCCAGTTACTATTGTTCTGACTCTGTGCCGTTCCGTCGTGCTTTATTAGTTCCTTGCCTAATTTAGTCAGTCTCGAATTGACTATATTATAAAGTGGAACTGTCCATTTTGCGCTTAAATATTGCAAATTTTCGCACACCACCTGTATTTGCGTTTGGCGGAAACTAAAAAAACCAAACAAATTATAATCTCGACCTGGATTGAAAGTCGGCCGCTTGGATAAACTTACAAATAAAGGGTATTTATTCATGAAATGCAGTCAAAGATAACTCGGTCCCGAAAAAAAACTGATTTCTACACGTGATCGAAGACATTGAACAAATATTTAAATATGACTTGATTTTTAACTGTGGCTACACCCACATGTGTGTGTGACGCATTCTGACATTTGCCATCCTTTCCGGTACAATGAATTAAATATTATTAATTCAAATGTTATTCTTCGTATCCGTGAGCAATTTATGATTAACCAATTCTTTGTCACTGCTCCATGGAGTATCTCTTCGAGAATTATCGGAGCAATCATTGTCGGACATTTTAACTCTCATGGTTCGGTCTATAAAATGCTATCTTTCCTCGTCAGTTTGAGTTATCTTTCACCCCGGTTACAATATCAACAGTAGGGAGGTCAGTAATGTTCAGGATGTAGACGTCTTAGTTTTGTCCATAATGATAACATTTGGAATCAGGGTTGCCAGTTGCCACTAAGAAAATGCACACAACGCATCATTAAGTGCAAGTTTTTTGTATTACGGTCTTTCGAAATGTAAAAGCAATTATAACGTTCCTCAGTATTAATTGAAAAATAAAAACAACCTGTAATACCTCTCTAACTACCATTTCATTGAAGAACGCACTGTAATTGCAGAGAATAGAATCGTTGATACTCGATATGCTACTAAGTACTTTTTGATTACCTTTCACGAACGTGTTTCACATCTCAATTAGCAAAATAAACAAAATGATATAGGTAGGTATTAATTAGAACAAAACAAACAATGAAACAAAATCATCAACAAAATGTGCAAATATAATTTAATAGTCATTAATGGCCGTTAACGGGTCGTCAACCCTGGTCAGTTAGTGGTCGGCCTCTGTTAAACTTACTACATGATACGTCACTTGAACACCATCAGCTCATTGAGAAGTTCTCAGTTAGTGTGTGATCAAACATCGCGATGTCGACACGTGGCGACGTTAATTGTGTTTATTGTGATAAAAATTAACCAATTTAATTCCTATTCGTAATAGTATAATGTACTTAATTACTTTTTATATTTACCCATTGTGTTGTGTTGCTACCGTATCAATTCAAGAACCTTGATCTCGCAATAGAGAGCGCCATTACGTAACGTGCTGTGATGGATATGTACCGGTATAGTGACACGAAGAATGCAAGAAAGTGTGATAAAATAACTAAAATTAAACACAAGTTGATAAAGAAACACAGGCTAAGTAGGTAGTTATGGTAATATTAAACTTTTATGCATCATGGTCACGTTGGAAATTATGTATTGAAATTATATGCAGAAGTTTTAACGTGTTTCAAAGTCGCATTTAGGAACTGTTGGGGCGTATTTACAAAACGTGGTCGCCTCTGCCGCCTACACTCGCCTTCAAGGCCCCTGATCCAATTAATCAGTTTCGACTTATGAAGCCGATACAACTTGGAAGGAATATTTGCAACGAACATTCCCAGTGTATTTCTCCATCTACAATGTTGCTTTTCACGCTAAATTAAACTTAGATAATTGATGTTACGTACCAAATTGGTATGTATTATAAAAAAGAATCACACATTCGCTTTGCGTTCATGCTTACTCTGTCTGTTTCGAATCCTCTGTAACGCCGAAAGTAATAATTTTATCTATGGAAATTAGCCCCTATACGAAACTACCGATTTTTTGCCCTTATTCAATTACGACACTTCAAAGACTCAAGGTTAAGTCAATATTATCCGTTCTCACAGAACTGTGTACGTAATATGTAACTAATTGTGATTGTGTGTCTCTGAATATTTGAGATAACGAATAGTAAGCTTTATCAGTGGTAGTTTACGATGTGTGACAAAAGGACGGCTACTTGATTGTAATAAATAATATGAGTTACAATATAGCGACTGTTTTTTCTATGTATTTGGATCACTTTTGGCTACAATTTGTTCAATATTAGATCCCCTATGTAGCAAACAACCAAAAGGACTGCTATACATCATTGGTTAACCAAAAATGTCTCGTCAATCAAACTTGTGACCACTAGGCCAGCGAGGCAACAGAGCACATAAATCATGGGCCCAATACTTCTCGGAATCATAATCATGTTTTGACTGGCTTTCAACCGATATTGTTTGAGTTATTCATTTCAAAGTTAAATACTACTGGTTATATCGTAGAAATGTAACACCCGGTTACTGTAAACATGAAGCAATTGCGCAACAATTAGGCTTCTTAGCTCAAATATAACTATGTATTCATATTCATTACAAACCAAGATTGCTTGCTTCTTTGTACAATATTCAATAGTGTGAAACAGGCAAAGCTTGTGTATTACTCCGATATAATCCGCTTTCAACGTATGAATACCTGACGCCCAATTTTTATTTTTTGTTTTGTTTTGGCAGATGAGCATCGGTCAGCCGGCGGCAGTTGGGAGGAACCAGTGAGCGCCGTGCGGAACACACCGCTACGGCGCTCACAGAGGCTCAACTCGACCCTGGACTCCAGGTAACGAACCATTGTTTTTTTTATGTCAGCTATCCGGTTTCTTTTGAATCGGTGAATCTCCGGACATAGTGTTCTTATTACGTACGATTGTGCCCTTTAGCATTCGTTCTAATTCGCAGACGATAGTGTAGGAATTTATGATTTTAGCAGCTCGTAAGTTAATTTCTGTGATGGGCTCAATTAGGAGATAATAAGGTTCAATTGTGCATTGGTCTGAGAGTTTCGGTACAAACGTTCTATTTAAATCTTCAGAAAGGATCGATACTATTTAATACGCATCTAGAAATATTGCATCAGTGTTAAAAACCATGAGCTTGTTTACCAGAGTGTCTAGCTCTCAACCAAATGCAATAAATTCATTATTATTTATAGTTTCGATTTGTAAATTATACAAACAAACCTCTTTATTATGCATACAGATTCAGTTTTATTTAAAATAGAAGCACTCTGAATTCAATGTCAAGGCAACATGGAAAAACATGCACATAAATATAAAATATTGGATAAAAAAAAGAAATATATAGTTTTCTTTCTTAAAACTGGTTGCGTAAATAAATTAATCGCTAATTTATCGTTGTTCCAACCAGTGCAGTTAAACGGTTACGTGCCTACGTCATGATAATTAAAGTAACAGCTTCAAGTCGCCGCTGTAATAAAATTAATATTATCTTTCGCAATTATTATTATATGAAGCATTAAGTCGATACCACTAACATAATGTCTAGTAGCACGAACGTTACACATGTACAATCAAACTCAGAAAGTCGTTTACTCTTGTCAGTGGTAAGTGTGATTGATTGTACTTCCAGAATTAGAACCAATTCTCGCCTTTTAGGAGGGTGGATGTTTATGTATCTAAAATGGAACACGTTTTACTGTCAATAAATTTACTACTGTCCACTTGATGTATACTTTTTAATAGTCCTGTCGTAACGTATTAATTTTCTACGTACACAATAGGCTCAACAAAGGAAACCAACAAGTATTGTAGCTAATTTTGAAATTACTGCAGAATGTGTTTACGGATAAGTGCTTACTCATAATTAATTGCTACATGAAACGCAGTACATAATGATATGTGATGGAAGACCCAATGATGCGCACGCGCATTGTTGACAGTCGGCGCATGCGACTTCCCGTCGTTGCGCGGTGTGGTCCAGTCTCGCTCGACAATTAGCGAGCGGCGCTCGGCCAATTAACACGAATTTCCTGTGTTCAAACTCCAGGGGCCAGCAGAGGGCACTGCCTCCTGACAAAATGTTCGGTCACGCTTTAATGGATGCCGTCTATTGTCATTCAGTTCAAGATTCGATCGCGAACTGTATACTATCAAGTAAACAATCGACAGTTTCAGTTAATTTACAAGTCTGTGACTAATTCTATAGAATTTGTTATTATTCCTTGCCTTACCACATGTTTCTCCAGTATTTACATACGGCACTTAGTAAGAGCTAAACAGCATGCAAGATGTTAGGCTTGGCTGTGGGAAATAGGTTACCAATAAAGCATTGTTAGGCCTACGACTAACCCTAATTTATGGCTAATCTATTTTTATTACAACAAACATGGTGGTTAACAAACATCAGAATACTAAAGTGATGCTATAATCCTATTCATGCCTTAACTTTAATAGTATTTATTTCAATATGGTTTGGAAACTCACCTATTAAAGCAAAAGTAATATCCAATAAATCTTTAGTGTCGTTAAAACACCTAAAATAGTACTGGAACGTGCTAATAAATGGTTTCTCAACCTTACGACCAGGATTATAAACTTAAATATGTTCCCGGTGTAACTTACTGACAGAAAAAAGATTTAAAAATTTTCATTTTTAATTGAAGAGTTTAAACTAAATTTTTTAGATGTTGGGTTAGTACAGACAGTTTTACCAAGTCCTAAATCCAAGTTAGCAGTAAAATTAAGTAGATTAGCAAAAATACCTAATTGAGATTCTCTCTCGATAATTTAATTTAGTTATATTATTCTTAAGGTAGTGTGATTAAAACTAAGAGGCGTACCCTCTTAGTTGGCATATTCATCTGGATAAAAACTCCAAAATAAATAACTAGAAAAAAACTTACTGACAGAATTTCTATATTTAAGAGATAAATTATTGACTTATGACTGCCATAAAAAAGCTGAAGATTAAAATTTATGTCAAGGCCTACCAATTTGCGTGTCGATGATAATACAGCTCGTAAGACCAATATATTTTCGAACGAATCTTCGTGACCCCATAATGTTAATTTTATGTTGATGCTTGTTTAAACAATTGTTGGGTTACTTGGTTAGTTTAGTTGTAAGTAAAATATAGTAACATGTGTCTCTAATTTCATTTCATTGGCATACTAAAGTGATGTGAAGTTGTAGGATTTTGCGTAGATGTAGCAATAAAAGAAATATTTACACAAAATACTTTAGAGTTATTTATTTCGTACGCCCGTTTACATGTGAGATTCAAAGTGAGAGAGGGAGAGAGCGACACCAGTGACGGAAAAACGAACTAAAATGATTGCGTTCCAAAACTGCATATTCTAACAAAAGTAATAATAACTATTTTATGTAGGTGCGACTGGCTGACTAGCTAAGTTATTTGTTACATCTATCTATGAACTTGGTTGACTGTACTTTTCGATTATTTTCTACAAATATAATGGGCTGTGTCTACTTACAATGTCATCACTTCAACAAAAACTCAGGCGCCACGACTTCGCGACACCTTCAAAATAAAATATCGCAAACAGTTTATCAAACGTTAATGTTTAGTTTTATTATCTCATTTATGTCAGGCGCCACGATACAGTTTTCCTGTAACATTATTGCTTTTATGATTTTCCTAGACTTTAAATAGTCAAACTAACTACTTAATAACGGATTTATTACCTACATAAAAACGTGACATGCTAGTTTTTATTGCGAACCTGCTTGCTAATAATAACAGTGTAAAGTTTACGGAAATGATTTATTGATAAAGTTATTATTTATTATAACAAATTGTCCAAAAATAATATGTCATGTCGACCTTCGCAGAAAAAAATAATAGTTGTAAAACTAAGTCGCAATAGCACTCAAACTGTGTATAACATAAACTTTCAACAAACTAACTAATCTGTAACGCAATTCATTAACATTGATTGTTTTGTCATTGACTATAGTTTTTATTTTCTCTAATTGAGGTCAAATGGCTGTTAGCTCTACAACTCGTGATGTTTTATAAAGGAAATAACTTTTTAGGTCTAGTTTTTTTATGAACTAAAATAAAAAGGTCATGCTTGGTCCAATTGCAGATGACTAAAAATGTCTAATTAGTTCGGCTATGAGGAAGTCAGTGCAACCTAGATAGCCATGGTCTTTAACGAGGGTTACGGAGGTTCAGTGTCACAGAGCAAAGAATCTTTAAAGACTATCTGTATCTGTAAATTTAGAAGCTTTTTCTTGCTGAGTGAGATTCTTTGTTGTCACAATAGTATTGATATATCAGGAACCCTGTTACTATCTATTACTCGACTGGAATAGCACATCACTGAACTTAGTTTTTTTTTTAAGTGGGGAATGTCATCGAATCTCTTTTTCTGCCTGGGTGTGGCGGGTGTCTGACAGGAGTGTCAGACTCTTACTGACTAAAAACCACCCTGTTCCTACTCCTGCACATTGAGCCGGAGGCCCGGTAACCCGTTAGGTTCTCCGCGGCATAACTGATCTCAGTAGGGTTGATTATAAAATTATTTTGTTCCTACGTTACTTTCTTTATCTTCTCTATCTTCTTCTTATAACAGATTTGGACATCAGTACTGCCTGAAATAAAGTCTAAATCCAAATACCTTAGTTTTTACACTAAACCACAGACATCGTATTGTTGTTATGTAACATTACTATAAACATTTACAGCTTCGTAATAGTTCTCATTCCTTTTTCTTTCTGTTCTACTTTAGTGGTTGTGGTTTACAAAAAACGTTCAGATGAAGAAAATCTTAAGTGTTACACCATAAAAATGATGTACACTGGCTCTCAGCCAATACAAAGTGCGCTTTTATCAGCATCAGTATAAATATTGCCTAAGTAATGAACGTAAGATTGGCCCATTCTGAATCATAAAGGAATAATATTATGTTTCAAATGAATTTGATTGCAATTAACAAAACAATTACTCGCTTATCTCGGAATGAAATCGTAGCAACAAAAATATTCAGCAGCTTGTTAATTAAAATAATATAACAAAGTGCTTCTCTTCTGGTTATTTTTTTTTTTGTTATTATAAGTGCACTCATTATAATAATGATTCGAAAAGGATGGATGAATGATGTATGTGGAGGATAATGAAAGACAAGGAAGTTGATAATGAGTTCATGTCTTGTAGGTATTATAGGTGTAGATATGATGTCCAATATGTCCATATTTATCTTTCCATTAGTTAATTGACTAATGTACATTTTATTGACTCAACCCTTATGACATAGTAAACGCATTTGCAAGTTTGCAAAAACAAATTACTTAATAAACTTTGCAAACATCTTACGATCGACTTGACTTGTCAAGCTCTTTCTAATTTATACTTATCCTTACTAATATTATAAATCTGAAAGTGAGTTTGTTTGTTTGTTCCACCTTCACGCCGTAACTACTCAACCGATTGCTTTGAATTTTTGCAGACTTTTTAACCCGGAAAAAATTGATATTCCCGAGGAAAAACAAAAGTATTGGTATAGATGGCGCTGTGTGTATTGGTATATGTCACATAGGCTACTTTTTATTCTTTTGTGACGCGAGCGAAGCCGCGGGTAAAAGCTAGTAATTAATAAAACTGTTTACTTGTCTCTCTTATCAAAACGCTGCAATTTTCCGTGAAAAATACATTATACAACAAAGAAGTATCCAACTCATTGCTAATGCCGACTTTCCGATCTATATCTTAATTTCAGATTGCATGTGCGTCGCCTGAGAGCACTACATTAACTCGTTTCCCTCACTTTAAAGTACACACGGCCACACATCAACCTATACAAAAACAGTTTATCCTGGTGTCGCGTCGCGTCATCTTTCCGTACATTTAACGTTCAGTTTATACTAGTTATGTAAAGCTCGATGTGTAGCCGTGTGTACAAGACGGTAAGCAGAAACACCTCATACTTAATGTTTTACAACTTTTTTAATGCTAACCACACGACTGTATAATCATGTCCCTGTTTTTGCACAGCTGCGCTTGTTTATTCCGAAGAGGAAATCTTAATTAATCGATGATAATTACCCTTAATGGAAATGTAAAATTTATACTCGGTGATAATGGTAATGCAATCAGGAAGAACTTTTTATCGTTTGCATGTTTATCTTATTCTGAATGTTGATTAAATCTTAGTTAACTGGGATTACTAATAAAGTTGTTTCTGTTTGTAGATAGCTGAGCAATCTAAGCATATCTTTACGAGAACGTTAAAGGCTTGGAATAGCTTCTATCCATGTGTCTATAGACAAAGTGGTGGTGGAAGGGGTTTAAAAATAAGTTGGGACAAAATAAATGTCGCTGGTTCTCTGGAAACAAAAGGGGAATACACGTATCGTCGCTTTCCGCCTATATTTAGGTACTGTAGCATAGAACTCTTTCAAAGATTGCTGTATAATACCTGAAAGAGAAAGGTCAGGGACAAATGTGAGAATGAGGTCGCGATCCGAAACCGAACAGATTGAAAATTCTTTTTTTTTTTGGATTAGCCGGTAAACGAGCAGACGAATCACCTGATGGTGTCGTTGCCAGTGTGTCCCTTGGACACCCGGAACACTATACGTGCCAAATCATAGGAGCAATATAAAATAGGAGAAAAATACTAAAAATGGCTTTTGAGTATTGTGTCGGTTCAGGACGTTTACTAGTTTAGACTCTAGCATCCTGAAATTGAATAGCATTTGAGTAATTGCCAAATGACTTAGGAATTTCCTTTCGACATCCGATTTTACTTGTTGATGTTAGTCAGTGTTGAATTCTTCACAACGCCTTTGTTTGTTCCTTTTGTCCATTCATTTAATTACGATTTCCATATGACGCTATGTTTTCCTTCTTTGACAAATGGCAATAGATATTAATAAAACATTACGAATTTATATGCAAGACACTTCGTTTGAGTATTGCGGTTTACTGATGCATTAGCGGTGAGGTGTATCAGTGTTTATTATGAGTCGGGTCATTGCAACAGATAAGCTGCCAGGACGCAGACAGTACGTCGTCAGTTATTCTTTATTACATATTGTACAAACTTCAATACATTTTCAACCTTATTTCGGAACGATTCAGTTGAAATTCTGTTAAAAAATTGACACGGGATGACTTGCTGCCGTGTGAACAATGTACAATCAAGTTCTTTACTTTATGACCTACTCAAAATTACTGTTAGGGCTTCTATTGTTAGGTAGGTAATTTGTTCTAATGCAGGATTCTAATTAGCAATGTTATAATTGGTTAGCACTAGACCTTTTGCAGTGTTTGTTTATAGTTACAACTGATTGGCAGTTATGATTATATCTTTATAATGATGTTTTTGTTTGGACTTAGGACTTGACCTTGCAGGCTATGCATAATTGGCTTATGCAATAAGAGGACTGTGGAAGTGTGTCTGTCACTTACTGCAATAGTACTACCAACTACTTGTGAATTTACTTCCACCCTATCTTCGCTAAGATGCTTAGTTCCGCGAGATACCAAGTGATTTTGTTGTGTTTTTCGCAGATTTAATTACCAGTCTTTTCAGATAACACAAATATTTACAGCAAAAAATAACTAGGTAGTTATACACCACAGAAATATTAAACAGATTATAGACATGTAAAATTAATTAAATTCAATTATAACTGTTGTGTTGAGCTTAATCGTGTATTTCCTAAGCTGTAAAAGCTATATTTGTAACTTAATATGTTTAGAATATGTTGACAGACATCGTTATATTGGTAAAATCTAGCTGTTGCTTTGTATCCTACCAATAATAGGTGCCTATTGGTACTAACTTTACATCGCTAATGTTTCTGATTAAGTATGGGAAGATTGACTCATCTTTCTAACAGTCGTTCGTGAAAACCAAATATTGTTCAAGTGTTAGATTTTGCACACAACCATTTAAGATGACGAATTATAGGTAGGACTATAATTACAAAGTTAACTGTTTGTGCCACCTACTGTCAGTATTACCCAAGGTGAGTGAGAACAAATAGGAAATCGTTTCTGATAAAAACTTTATATACAAGTTTACCTATGAGCTATATCTAGGTTCTAGATGTTCACGATTCTGTTAATAAAAGTTACTGATGTCGAAATAATAGTTTCTCAGCTATCCAAAATAGTTTTATTATCCCCCCAAAAAGAGATATTGCAGCAACAGCTTAAGCAATATCTGGTACAAAAATATCTAGCAACATAATTTAGATACTTATTGAGAGCTGAGAGAAACAATAAACGACCTTGGTGTGCATATTTTTTTGGTTCAATTTACAAATAGGTGACAGAAAACACTAGGCAACAGCGATGAATACGGTAGCGTGCCCTCGACTCGAGTTGACACCCCCATCATAAAAATTGCATTACGCAGATTGCTTTGGGTTGAGCAACCACAAAGACAATATTTAGTCTTTCAACACATCATCACCAAATAAGTAGTAATATATTCGCGACTTCATACATAATTCAATAATTTTATAACTCTTGCTACAGTGTTGGCATAACCTTCAGCTGATTCTTTGTTTAGTATTTAGTCCAACTAATTGCTCCATTGTCGTTTTATTGTTCACTCCGACGATTGTTTCGTCTGCTGTCATCGTTAATTTGAATGGTATTGACAATAAAAATAATATGATTGATAATTGGATTACGTTGAATGATCAACGGAAATTCATTAGATAATACCGATTAAATGGCCGCCCAATTTGCCTATTAAGTAATTGTATTTTATTTTATAGCCTCTTTATTACTACATTATAATTTGCCATAGTAAATAAAAATATGTTGCATAAGTAATGGTTAGCGATTGTACTTATAGTAATAGACTCGTAAAGAAAGTCATCGAGTTGCCTCTAGTTTCTATAACAAGTTTCACCAGTAATTATTGTTTTCTATAATTAAATGTACGTCTTCCGTGTTAGCTAATTGTCCATATCCTTTAAATTACGTCACTACGAGCTGAACACCGGCACAAAAGGTAAAGGGACTAGTCTACTTGAAATACCCATCAACTACTTTTATTTCCTGTTTCCTCGTCGAAAATTTGATTGGTGTAAAATGGAGTTAATCATTTAGAAAATAACGTTTATCTTGGAAGCCCTGAGATCAACATTTCCTCAAGTATTTAACTGCATCCTACATCATCAGCTGTGACAGCTGTACAAATATTTGACCACGAACGACTTGTTGGTATTTTACCGACAAAACCGCGAATATCTTCAAGTTCCATTAACTGAGATCAGATGCCTATCATCCGAGATCTGACGCTCATTATTCGGTTAACAACATTGTCGTCAACAAGAAGGTTATTGCGGAGATTCATAGTCTTTGTCAAGGTTGTCCATTATCTACTGTAAACTTCAGCTGTTCTCTTCAAGACTTGTTGTTAAAATGTATTAAGCTGTAAGAACCGCAATGGTTACCGTGGCTCTATGTCAAAGCAGGAGTTACAGTTGGAAAAGGGGTGATTTTTAGTAAGAGTCTGACACTCGCTCTTGCATGAGAAGGGGGAACCCAGGGAAAGGAGTTATGGATTAGCCGATCAATAAAGCTTAAATGTCTTTTAAACTTATTTAGGCCTACTAGATTGTGATGTTTCTTACATCAATAAATAATTATTTTTTAATAAATAAATTTTAATCCAATAATTTTGTCCACCAGGAGCACCGGTCAGTTGCGTAGCACGCTGAGCCGCGCTCGTGAGTTATGCGAGCGATGGCGAAGTGGCGGTGGAGCGACTCCTGCGCCGCCGGCTCCCCCACCCGACGACGAAGGAGGGGGACGTCTGGCCCGATGGTTCAGCGTGCGACGCGGTTCTTCTCACCAGTACGACATGCATGGCCACGAGTCCGACAAAATGCCCAAACTACCAGAGGTTTGTAAATAATGTTATTCTTTTAATACGCTAAGAAAATTCAGGAGTGCAAAAATATCTTGGTGTTTCACTTCGTTTAAGATAATCAACTTAGTACCTAAGTGAAAGATGCGTTATCCTATATCCTTATCCTACATCAATGCGTTAAAGAGTGTCTTCAGGCATCAGGGAGCATATATTTTATTTGGGGTATTTAGGTCACTTGAGACCATAGATAGAACTGTAACTGCTATAAGAACCTTTTCGTAAATATTAAACATTGCTTAACCACGCCTGATGTTCCCGGATACGCAAATCGTAAACACTATTTACATTGCGTTCTACAAAATGCTAGGCGCAGCATAAACAACCTACATGGATTGAGACTCTAGAACAACTTTACTTGAGCTTGGAGGTTATTTTAGCGTTTTGTCGCCAATTACCAACTCTAGTTACGAAGCTCAACAATTTATTAAATACAATGAAAACGCCTGTTCTACCTCTGTATGCTGGTTTATTTCCAGCTCAAAACCATTATCGGTTGAACGGTGCTTTCTATGAATAGACAATAATGAGACAGTTCGTAATACTTTGTCGATCAGCCAGCAGTACACAATTCTCATAACAAGTATTTACTATTCAACATTCACTTTGTATGAATGACCACTCTTCATTCAATGATGCCACATATGTACAAGGAATGCATTTAAGTACTGGTATCAATAAGTACATCCCGGGCCGACCAGTTGTGACGACAGTGACATCTCTGGATTGAGTTCCTCAATGGCCCTGTGTAAGGACTGGTCGTTTAATATGTAACGTTATTATCAAGTGTAATATACTTAGATGATTCACAATTATGTATATTTCAGATGAATCATGATCGGGTCATTGAGTAGTCAGTCAACAACAAACCGCAGTAACGAGTGTATCGTAGTGCGCGTCGCCTCCGCGCCTCTCGGAGGTCTAAGTCGCTAAACAAATAATCTATTTTAACATGTGATATAATGATGTCACAGTGGATACCAGTCAGCTACCATACTGGATTCATGTACACGATAGTAATTTGCTTATTTCAGTTTATTTTTAGTGTGACTACGTGAATAACGTGTGATTCGTAAATGTCAAAAGTTAATTCAATGCCAGTACGCTTGTAGACGATATCGTAACAATGTTTTGTCCGTCCTGTATGAAACTTCTCCATGATAAGGCTCAGTATTCGTTGTCAAGTTTTAACGTAAGTCACGTGGTTGGGATGGTGTTACTTTTGACGTTTACGTTTTATAAGTAAGACAGTGGTTCTGATGACGCGATTTGTGACGCTACTGGTCTCGGGTTTGTGAGAAATTGTACGCAGCGGCCGGCAAGCGTCCTCGAAACGCGAGTTACAGCAGCGCGAGTTGAATAATCACAAGTTATTTCTGTGCGTTCACCAGACACGCGACTCGGATCGCGTCATCGGAAACTTGAAGCGAATTGTACTGTGAAGATTAGTGTTGTGGTGCAGCAAGCTGATGTGTTGTGTGATGGTTTCAGTTGGAGGAGGATTTGTTCTCATGCGGCGGCGAAGTGCGAGGCGGTCGGGTGCCGCCGCCCTCGCTGGGCGCGCCACCGGACTCCCTGTCCCCGGTGCAGCTGCGCCGCCGACATGTGGTCGCTGCCATCATACACAGCGAGAACTCATACGTCGCCACCTTACAGAGGCTCATCAACGTAAGTCTTAGAAACTATAAGTCTTTGGAAATCCAAGTACTCAATATACAGTAGAAAACTTAATGTTGTAGAGTCACACGCTCGTTTAGTTTGCAAACAATAAGTCTAAATACCTAGAAGTAGACATGACTGTAATTATTAAGATAAACATACCTACTTCTAACTTCACTCACTCGTTAATGTCTGTTACGTGATTCGTTGTAAATATTGTTCTCTTTATCTTTATGTATCCAATACAAGATCCGTGTCGACTGTCGGTACTCTTGTACCATTCTTGCATTACAACTAACTACATTATGACAACTCCATGACTCCATACACGACAGATGTCAATAAGTTATTGAGATTGAAGTCTCTGACTCGCATAAAAACCACATAATTGACGTGTGACTGCATTGTTCTAATAATTAATTAATTACTATACGTACAGTTCTCAAGCAAGCATTACGCAGGTCAAATATAATGTACCAAGCACAGTAAATAAACAAGCAAAAACAATCACATTTATCTTTGGCAAATACAATCTGTAATTATCCGTACACGGCGACTCGCTAAATATTTACGTTGGCCATTTATGGTCAGCCGAAATAAGTACACTGTCAACAAACTAAATCACAGTAGTACGTGTCTAAAACCGGTTTACTATCATAGTATCTATGTATCTAAACACGCTGACATTTCACATGACTCCGGTGAAATTCGTGATCGGGAAGGAAGCTTAAGATTGATGGCATAATGACTTTTTTTTTTTTTTTTTTTTTTTTTTAAGGGGGGAAAATCATCGAATGACTGCTCCCGCCTGGGTGAGGCGGAAGGGAGTGTCAGACTCTTACTGACTAAAAACCACCCCGTTCCTTCTCCTGCACGTCGAGCCGGAGCCCCGGTTACCCGTTAGGTTCTCCGCGACTCCGAATCGGCATCGGCCCTATTGGGCCCCATCTGTGGTGGTCTGATGGCTCTTTGAGGCGCGCGCGGAACGCGACGCGCCGTACGCTCGGGTCTGTTTCTGGTCGGACGGGGAGCCACCCATGCTCGCCGTCCGCAGGCCCGCGCTTACGGTGGCCGGAGATCGTCTCGCGATCCCCGACGCCCGGTGTGTCCTTCGCGATGGCTGGGTTGCGAGGAGGCAGCGCTTCGCTGCCTCACGCGTCCCGCCTCCTCCTTAGCTAGCATAACTGCTTCGCAAAAGGAGGAGACGGCATCCCAATCCCCCTCGCTCCGCATCATGGCCTGCACTAGGCCCGGACGCGAGAGGTCGCCATCGCCGATCACTTCCCTGAGGGCACGGCGGTGCTCAGCCCACGCAGGGCATTCTCCCACTGTGTGTTCCACCGTGTCCTCAGGGCGGTCCTCGCAGTGATGACACCCGGGCGTTTCCTCCCGCCCCATCAGACACAGGTACCTCCCGAAACTTCCATGTCCGGTGAGGACCTGCGTCAGGCGGTAGGTGAGGACGCCGTAGCGTCTCTCAAGCCACTCCTCAAAGAGGGGACTTACCGCTGCAATGGCAGCGAGCCCAGCCCCCGGTTGCGACAGTCGTTGCTGCCATTCCGCCATGGCATAATGACTTACAATTATAATACCATCATAACGACAGTTCCCATTGCGTAACCCGTGTTGTGGGTACACTAAGAACCACTTTTGGTTTCACTAAAGACCTGATTGGCTTGACAAGCCACTTAATTAAGGAGTTGACTTGCAAAATTGCGTGTTAGACGTTAGCGCCCTGGTCGCTGTAGTTATTAATGAGATTACCTGTTCTGAAAGTAGAATAAGGGTGAAGAGAAGTTGTTCGTGTACTCTCCTTACGTAATATGAATAGAATTTATTTTTAATACCAATTGAACTTGATTTTGTTTCTGAAGTTCTTTGTTTTATTCAAAACAATGACTCTAAATGTTTATGGAGAAATCGTTTCATCAATAATCATGATATTTGATTAAACACCAATGCTTGATTAACGTTTATTTTTATTTATCACTGCAATTGCAATAATTTTACACATCTCACAAACAAACAAAGGAGAGAAAGCTATATTTAAATAACCGAATTGAGTCTTTATTATTTTCGCAACTTTCGTTTCTTTTTTCTTAAACACAAACAGTTATATTTATATTTTATAAAGTTGTAAGTGTGTATGTGTATGGGTAAATAGATGTCGCATTTGTGATGTCAGTACTGTCAACTAAGTAGTGTGTGTAAATATGAACCTGTCTGGCCCACTTTGGTATTGTTTCGCCCACAATTCACATGCCATAGATTAGCATATTAGGAAGTGGGGCAATTTGAATAGCCACTATTTGCAAGCGGTACACGAGGTCGTCTCTAATGAAAATGGCGCCGACGTCCACTGGTCTGTGTTTAATGCGGTAAATTACTGTTTTTGTTCTAAATACTGTCCTGTATTTTCATGGGACATGTCCAATGAATATATCTACATGTTTCTGCATGTGTTTGTGTATGACAAACGCTTCAGTCGCGATAGAAAGTTCAACGCATCCTAGTTTGCGAATCTCTTTTCCAAAACCGCCAAAAGGCTGTCCTCGATTTTCTAAAAATACTGCTTATGTGACTAATATTATGAACACATATAGTTTTGTCTTTTTGCTACTGTATTTTAATGTTGTAAAGTTGGTATTTGTACACACAGCTACACATCGAGCTTTACATAACCAGTATAAACTGAACGTTAAATGTGCGGAAAGATGATGCGACGCGACACCAGGATAAACTGGTTTTGTATAGATTGATGTGTGGCTGTGCATACGTCAATTGATTGCTTATGTGCTATGTTAATATGCAAATCAACTGAATGAGTTTGAAAACTTTACACAAAGCATAAATATGACCTTACAAGGCAACAATATGATACATTTGTCACATAAACTTCCCACTTGTATTACATAGTATTAACGTCAATGGTAAAATAGAGTACTTACAATACAATTAAACATGACTTCGGGGAAAAACAAATATTCAAATTATCCTTTATAGGTATGTAAATAGCCTCTGCCCGCGACTTCGTACGCGCAATCCCGTTGTCTCCCGTTCCCGTAGGATTTTCTGTATTTTTTTTGTGTTCAGAATCTTCTCCTAATAATAAAAAATACAAGAAAAAAAGAATTAGTGAAATCGGTCCAGCCATTAACGCGTGATGCCGTGACCAAGGGAAAAGGGTTTAATTTTAATATAACTACTAGCTTCTACCCGCGACTTCGTACGCCCAATCCCGTTGTCTCCCGTTCCAATAGAAATTTCAGGGTTTTTTCTGTCTTAAGAAATAAGAACCATCTCCTAATAAAAAAAATACAAGAAAAAAAGAATTAGTGAAATCGGTCCAGCCATTTACGCGTGATGCCGTAAATAAATAAATAAATAAATAAAAATTTATTTTCAAACATAATAGTCTAGAAATGTACAGTATTGCTTAAAGCTATATAAAGTTCACAATATAAGGTGCCTGAACTAGGACATCCTGTGTTTCAGGCGAGGTTAGGTAATAGTAATAGACATTGTTATATAATCACTAGTACTTAAATGCTTATAAGTTAAGGTAAATTATGACAATATTTAGTTATATTTATGCATACTGATATAAAGTAATACTTAAATTCTATGCTTAATATGTATATAAGAGTATGTATGTAGTATATAAATTAGAGATTAGGAGCTTACGTTAAGTATTATTTAGGAACTAATAATAACTTCTCTGTGTCTTCATAGGACATGTCTTGAAGGGCTTCCTTTAGAATTTTCTTACAGTTACGGATGCTATGGGGGTAAATCCATAAGGTTGCATTTAGTCTATTGTATAGGAGTGGTCCAAGAAATACAAAAAATTTGGTAATAAAAGCGTGCTTTGTACTTTTGGTTGGGCAAACAATATCTCTTCGCCTTTTTTTGGTTATCTCAGGATTGTATGGAAAAGCCGCATGCTGTTTTAGTACCGTGCTCATAATAAAAAGCTGGCGGACTGTTAGTACTTTACAAGAACTATATAGAAGGTTAGTAGGGTAAAGAAAAGATCGGCCAGTAGACACCTTGAGAATCGCTCTTTGGGCTCTTTCAGTGGAAAGCAGTAGAGTCTTATCCGTACCACCCCAAGAGGTAATACAGTAAGTCAATATTGATTGGCACAAGGAGAAATATATACCTGTCTGATTATTTTTGGGTCAGCAATATAACGCAGCTTTTTGAACACAAATATGAGCTTACGCAATCTACTGTTTAAAACGCTCAGATGCCGTTTAAAAGAAAGAGTTTCATCTAATATTACACCCAAATATTTTACATTACTACTCTGATTGATAAAAGGGCACATACATTGGTCAGGAATGTTACAGTGATGGGCATACAAGGCTAATGTAGATACTGGGTTTTCCTTCCGAATAGCAAATTTGATGAAGTGTGTCTTATCTGTATTTAATGTTAGTGAGTTACACCGAAGCCAATTATTTACATTATTAAATCCGTGCTGCGCAAGTCTGTAGACCTCAGTTATCGAGTCAGCAGAAAAAAGTAGAGCGGTGTCGTCAGCGTATGACACGATTGTGCCGTGTTCCAGCTTAAGATTGCATAGGTCATTTATGTAAATTAGAAACAATGTAGACGATAATATGCTCCCCTGCGGGACACCGTAGGGGGTTTTTAACGTCATCGCTGAGTACTTTACCGATTCTTACACACTGACTGCGGTCTTCTAGATAACTTTGAAAGAATTTAAGCTGCATTCCTCTTATACCTATGATCTCCAGCTTATGCAACAACACAGGAATAGAAATTGTGTCAAAAGCCTTGGCCAAATCCAGGAAGACTCCCAAAGTATGTTTACCCTTATCAAGTTCTTGCGTTATGTAGTTAGTCACGTAGTGTACTGCGTCTGCTGTTGAAATTTTAGGTCTAAATCCATATTGGTGTTCTGATAGAATTGACCTGTCCTCCAGGTATTTAAGCAGTCTATTATTTACTAGCTTCTCTAATATTTTAGACATAGAAGGCAGTAGTGAGATAGGTCTATAGTTTGTTACTTGGGATTTACTGCCTGATTTATGTACTGGAACTATGACTGATTTTTTGAGACATGCCGGGAATATGCCGGAAGATAAACACAGTCGAAAAATATAAGTCAAAGGAGGAGTTAGAATATTTCTAAACTGCTTAATAATTTTACTAGAGACATCATCCCAGCCAGCAGCGCTATCGTCCTTCAGAGTCATAATAATATTTTGTACCTCAGTCTCGTCAGTGTCGAACATCACAAAAGATGCTATGGGTGCGCATTTCTTTGGGGTATTTTGTTGAGGAGGACCTTGACCCTGGATTTTTTCTGCTAGACTTTTGCCCACATTAGCAAAAAAGTTGTTAGTCACATTAGCGGCCGTGCGCGGTGTCGTATATCCCTCTAGTAAACCCGAGGCTGATTCACTTTGTTTTGACGCGTATGTAATATTTTTAATGCACTTCCATAATTGTCTGCTATTTGAGCCAGCCTTTTCTAGTTTAGTTTTATCGAATTGACTTTTGATCTTTTTAAGGAGATCGTTGCAAAAGTTTCGATATCTTTTGTAAGATATTTGTATATCCGTATTGTCTGGATTAGATTTAGCCTTAATGTGCAGTTTGTCCCTATGTTTCATGCACCTGATTAGTCCAGTTGTAATCCACGGTTTGATGTTATGGTTTTTGTTACGTAACTTTGTCAGTACTGTGTTTTGCTGAATTGCATGACGCACGCTTTCAATCACGTACGACATGCAGTACTGTGGGTCAGCGGAATTATAGACTGGCTCAAAGTCGATGTTGCGTAAATCGTCCTCAAGTTTATCTAATTGCAATTTGTTAATTAAGCGAGTATTTTGTTTAGGTAGGCTACAATTTAGAGTTAGTAGGACAGCGTTATGATCGGTTATTGATGAGTTAGTTACAAGTGCAAGCGAGGGGAAAGCCGATTTTAGCATGATGTGATCTAAGCAGGAACCTCTTTGGTGTGTAGGGAAGTTATGCGTGGGGAGCAGGCCCTGCAGGGCACATACATTGAGGTATTCCTGAGCAGACGCATCAATACTCAGCGGCGTAATGTTAATATTTATGTCTCCTATTACAATTACATTTTTGAAGGATGAGAGGTTCTGTAATGCGTCATTCAGAGAGTTATTAAAGTTTTGTGTGTTTTTAAACGACGGGGGTCGGTATAATGCTAGTATTGCAAGCCGTGACCAAGGGAAAGGGGATTTATTCTTATATAACTATATAAATATGTAATTTCGTAAAATACAAATACAGAATAAAGCCAACGCATGTGTTATTGACCTATCAGTGTATACTAAGTAAAATTTCCTCATGTCTTTCCATAAAACAATAAAACCTAATTAGTTTACAGTCAGTCGTGTCCGATAGTTCAATTTATCCTTGTTATTCGTGTATTCTATGAGTAAATGAATAAATAAACCTATTGTTAATGTTATTGTCTACCATCATCCTTAACCTAAATGGCTCTGGGTTTACGATCAGTTCTTCAATAAATAAAATGTATTATAACTAATATACATAACCGAGGTTGTTTGTATTGCGAATGTCGCTAAACTGCCGATATGATTTAGATGATATTTACACAAAGATAGAACCCGGCTAAGGGAATTTGACAGAGACCGGGCAGAAAGGCTACCGAATAACCTCTTAAACTGCAATCTCTAACCAGTGCCTCTGCCTTTAGGCAAACGCCACTTTAGCGTTTGTCTACAGAGAGTGTAGAAAACTAAATGTATGGGGATGACACAAGTGTCAAAATTTACGTCAATCCCATATAATTTGGTTTTCTATTCTACATGTAGACAAGCGCTAAATGGCATTTGGTTACAGCTGTAGGTTCTCTAGCGTAAATATTTTGGTAAACGCTCTTATGTAGAGGAGGCCTAATGTCTAACCCGACTGTTACGGACTGTTAATATTGATTGAACCCAGGAGACGATATTTTTATTAACTTTAGTGAAATTGCGACCATAATCTAGCCTAGTCTATATACTGAACTGATTTGGCTAATTTCGGTCTTGAAAGAAGTCCAGGGTAGGTTTGAAAGGCGAGAAAACAATGATAGGCGTAACTATGTTTGCCGGGTCATTTAGTAGTGATGCCCCAGGCCCCAGAGCCTTAGCATAACCTTGCAGTTCTTTTAATTAAAGCTAACGCTATAAATACTATTTTATATCATAAGTAATTATCTTAAGACCGTATATTGAGTACAATGCAACAGTTACCATTGAGAAACATATAAAATGCACACACCGTACAAAGGATTCTTATGTCATAAACCTACCAGCATAACATGACCATTTATGAGAAAAAAATCCAGAAATAATTACGTAAACGTAGCTTTGTGAAGGACGTTTCAGCAGGAAATTAAACAATGCACATACATATTTATCTCAGCTGGTTTATCTATAAGACATAAGGCGATTATTACAATAAGATTGCATTATAAAAGGTTCAAGTTTATCAGAGAGAGCTGTTGCCCGGTTTCTGTCAAATATGTAGTACCTTAATCGCCACTTTCGACACCCAGGGGAAGAGAGGAATGGTGAGATATCTAAATCTACTAGTAGCGACTGCTCAGTTGCTATTAATGGCAGCGTGATATTTGATAGCCTATAGCTTTCCTCGATAAATGCACTATGCAACACAAAAAGAATTGTTCAAATCGGACAAGTAGTTCCGAAGATTAGCTCGTTCAAACAAACAAACTTCAGCCTTATATAATAGTAAAAGATAGGATCACCACCATACGTCTTACGACGACACACAGATGACTTGTGAACTAAATAGTATTCTCTGTTCTTTGTTGAATGACGGGAGCATAAAACTTACACGCTCGCGGAAGCAATCAATGTCCCATACACAATTTTTTCCACCTCATAAGATCCATATAAGTTTGTCCACAATTTACATTCAATAAGCCTATAATAAGATATGACGCAACATATGACGGCTTACACTTTTTATATCTAAACAAGGCTGAATAAAATCAACATGTCTGACGGTCTTTGCTTATTTTATTTTGCAATACAAGGTTTATTTAATACAAAAAGTGATGCTTGAAATGTCTGGTACTGATTTTATTGGCTTTTACACTAGTCTGTGTATGCATGATTGCAATGTTTGACTGAAGATCAACAGACCGCGTCAGTCCATGCTAGTCTATGTGGCTTCTCGACATAAAGAGATTTTGTTATATCTCTAGATATGGCAGGCGGGTTTGACATTGCATAAAAGGTTCATGTAAATCAGATAGCACTTCTAAGGGGGGAAAATCATCCAATGACTTCTCCTGCCTTGGGTTGGCGAGAGGGAGTGTCAGTCTTACTGACTAAAAACCACCGCGTTCCTACTCCTGCTCTTCGAGCCGGAGCCCCTGCAACCCGTTAGGCCTTCCGCGGCTCCGTATCAGGCATCAGCCCTACTGGGCCCCATCTATAGCACTTCTGCCTGGACTCTGTTAAACTTATAGTTCTTTGACCTTAGATATAAGTGTTGAATACAAATCTTCCGCTAACTATGCACATAGGCCATGTAACATAGGACACTTGAAGTGTCTTAGGACATACATTCCAATAAAATAACACATTACCATGCCCATAGCACAGGTTATCCTAGTTTAGGTTCCTGGCTTCCATCATTGCATTGTCACTTAAACTACGTAAAACCTTATGTAAAACCAAAGTCTATCACAAGCTTATGTCAATATAACTAGTATTAAGGTCTACTACATTACTATATATTGTGATGGCAAAAATATATTATTAAAAAAAAGAAATTTTGTAGGTAGACCCTGTTTGAATCTGAAATTCAGTCTAAACTTACCCTAGTTTCTGAGAAACAGATAGCGTCTTTTAAAAAATGTAACTGAATGACAAAACCGACGAATTCAGTAGAATTTTCTCGACGTGTCTGTTTTCAGAGAATAAATATAACACTTGGCGCAAACTATGATATAATCGTTGAATGTAAATGAACACGGTAATGCAGGTGCATTAGTATGTATAATTACGCTATATTACAGGCATTACTGCAAGTCAGGGACGAACAACTTTTTACTCGTGTTTGTTTAGTAAGTTCTATGACAAACGAGTTAACAATGCATTGTGATTTTGTAGTACATACTCGGATTTATTGTCCTACGTATTGATATAGAGAGAAAGGTAATATTTTATGTTTACTATAAATAAATTCGGTTTCCATACAGGGTGTATACCGGAATGCTCCCGAACGCTGACAGAAAGAAATTGTTTTTACAAATTTTAATAATTTGTGTTTTCGTGTTATTCATTCAACATCAGCCTTGAGCTGTTCATAATCATTACAACTCTTAATACATAAAAAACGCATTCAATTCTTTATATTTATGAAAATTAAACTTTTTTTACCATCAACTGTCGACACCCCATATAAATGAAGAAGGCACAGGAATTTGAACCTACAAAACGAGTCTCCAAAACTTAAATGTTAGACTGATAGACTACTAACTTTAATACCAACAAAAAGTTCTTATCCAACAAGTTTCTTAAGCTAATCTTAATACAAAAACTAGTTCACTGATTCAATTATCATTTATTTGATTTCCTTTCAAGCAATGTTGCACATACATATCAAATCCCAATTTCTTGCATTAAAAACTAAGTTAAACGCGATGTAATTGCGACCACTCTTTATAAATTGTCACCTGTATTTACCATACTATGTGCAAATAAATATTCTGATTCTAAAAAAGCTAATTTGTTATACATTGTTTACAGGACTACAAGAAACCCCTCGAGGAGAGTAGTCCAGCGATTCTGAATGCCAGCAAGATCCAAACGTTGTTCCACCGGCTACCAGACATACTGCAATGTCATCTACACTTCCGAACAGCACTGGCTGATTGCGCGCGGACGTGGGACCGCGATGAAAAAATTGGTAAATATTACACACTTATACATACACTAGCTACTTCCGCGAGGTTTCACACGCTCTGCTCAGCTCCTATTGGTCGTAGCTTGATGTTTTATAGCCTATAGCCATCCTCGATAAATGCGCTATCCAACACAAAAAGAATTATTCAAATCAGACTTGTATTTACGGAGATTAGCGCGTTTAAACAAACAAACAATAAGAGTATAAGATAGCATTGTTAATAATTAAATATTGCCCTTAATATCATCACGCTAAGCTCTATTTTAGTCTACCGTGCGCTCCTGGACATAAATCTTTATAACAGTACACTTAGCTATAAGGCTTAAAATGTTAGCTGTAGCTAATTGGTATACTGTGGCCAGTAAGCCATAAGCCTTACCTGTAATAAAATATGCTAAGAATTAGGTATAGCTTTAATAGCCCCTGCACTAAGCTCTAGGTAGTAGTAGGTCTCTGTTTCACAAGTACGGAACCTACTTTTAGTCTTAATTTTAAGATGATACCTTTTGAGAGTTTTAATCCCTATTAATTATTATTATTATGTTTAATCTTTAAACAAAATAATCATTTAAAAAAGACTCATAAAGGTAAACCAATGTTACAATTAAATCATTCTTGGATCTTCTATCTGTAGCTCGAGAACTTCATATTTATTATACAATAGTTTGTAATATGACAGTAATTACGCTCATGATTGCGTGCACTTCTCAATCTACAGTCAGACAAAAAGCACATAATTAAAATTACCGCTAATCAACGTCAATGAGTATAGACCTTGCGACTCCATAAAAATCCCTCAAGTAGTCAGTTGACAATTTGTAATTAGCAGATCAAAGAACTCACATTAAATTTTTTCTCCATCAAATTCTCAATGCGTGTACAGTGTAAATAAATGGATGCGGGCGGTGTCATTGATTTTTTTTTAGTATTTCTCTTTGACGACTTAAACCCGTATTAGTTAATGCGTATGTCGTCGATAATTGTCACAAAAACAAACTTAATCTACACAATATATATAAATTAGTCGTTAGTTTGTTTTACACAGCAAAAAATTAGAAGGACCATGTATAAAAAGATAAACTAATGATGAATTGAGTGCCTGATTTTATATCTAGTTTGTACTTGTTCTTAAAGTTCAACAGGTATTGGTATAATCATCTAATTGGCTCCAGTAATGATTAAAAAAAATGACATCCTGAAGATTTGTTTTCGCCTTGGAGCTTTTAATATCATTTTAGTTACGATAAATATTGTTAGTTTAGGACTTAGTCTCCACATTTGTATTTAATAGATAGCTATTAATTTTTTTTCTTTATTTCACAGGCGAGGTCTTTTTGAGCGCGTTCTCAAAAGCCGTGGTGTTGGACGTGTACTCGGACTTCATAAATAACTTCTCGGTAGCTATGGAATTGGCCAAGATGGAGTCGAAACGCAAGTCGGCGCTAGCTGACTTCTTCAAAGTGAAGCAGATCAGCGCTCACGACCGACTCTCATTCTTTGGTCTCATGGTCAAACCTGTGCAACGGTTTCCTCAATTTATCATGTTTTTACAAGTAAGTTCCTACAAAGTTATACAAGACTTTATTATAGCCTAGTTCGACGACGCAGCCACCGCACATTGGCCGCTAACTTCTTTCTTTTTATAGCAATATAAACTTTATTATCTCGTTCACAAAATACACATTTTTAGCAGTGACCAAACCACGCTGCGACTTCGCGATCTATTTTGTGTCTTGCATTAGGGGTATAACAAATCCCCTTAAGGGTATAACAAGGAAATACTAGACAAGTACTTTAAAGTAATGAGTTCTTTAGATACATGAATGCAGAATAATCAAAAGAATAGATAAGGCAATTGCATTTCAATCTAAGTAGGTACTCAGGATGATTTACCTTTTACTTACCTATTCTGTATTCAGCACCTGACTATCAAATGTTAATTTATAATGTAAACAAATATTTATAATAATTAATATTGATGAACGATCGTAATCGGATATCGATGGTTGTAAGTAGCTTTAGAACGGACAAATTAATATTAATTGCAGATATACATAATATTTAATACGACAGATGTTAAATCCCTTCCCCAATCTCCCTTATCCCTTAATCCCCGACAATCCACAAAAGGCCGGTAACGCATTTGTAACGCCTCTAGTGTTTCGGGTGTCCATGAGCGACACCGATTGCTTACCATCAGGTGATTCATCTCCTCATTTACCGGCTTATTCCATAAAAAAACTGTTAACTGAATTCGCCTTTGTCTAAGAAAATTTCAAAATAAGTTATCCTTTCGAAGTTTTAAAGGTGATGTTTATTCTTGCAGGACTTATTAAAACACACGCCACCGGGACACTTAGACCGAGTGGCGTTACAACGTGCCTTGACGAGGCTAGAAGCTCTAGCCGATGCCTTGAATGAAAGGAAGCGAGATGCTGAACGGACACAGGTAAACATGAATCTGTTATTTTTTAAGTAAGACTGTGAAATTACCTTACCTCAAAATTGATAAACTTTTGACTGCCAACATTAAAGGAGTAGGACTCTAATGCTCGAATACTGAAAGGCTAATACAATTTTAAGTTGTACTTGTAATATCGTGCCGTCTCTGTCATTTTACAAAGAATTTGTAGTGACAGAACTATATTTAAGCGTGATATAAAATTGAGTAGCGTCTGAGTATTTCAGCGTGCCTATTCTAACTTTACACCTCCTAATCCCCGAAATAGGTAGAGTTGCGCAAGCGCATATACAGCCTGACACCCACTTTTAAACAATTATGCGTCCTATGTAATAAGGGGGTTATCCTATGAGGATATAGAGGTCATCTGTATCCATACATTAAGCATACTTCTAGGCTCCGTGACACTACTTAAAATTTTCGAATATCTATATTTTGTCATTTATTTACTGAATATTATCATTCCAGGCATTCCGTGCGGCTCTAAGACGACTAACACGGGGCGGTGTGGCGGGCGCGGGCGGGGCGGGCGGCGCCGCGCGCTTCGGTGCCGCGCGACTGCTCGCCTCGCGGGCTGACAAACGACATCTGTTGCGACAGGACGACTTGCTGCAGTTGGTCAGTAGTTTGTACCAATAACTAAATAAAATATATAGGTTTATATTTAAGTAGCTTCTGCCCGCGACTTCGTACGCGTAATCCCATTTTTTCCCGTCCCCGTTCGTGATTTTCGGTAAAAAGTAAAAAAAAAAATTAGTTAAAAAGTATCCTATGTCGGTCTCCTGGCTCTAAGCTACCTCCCTACCAATTTTCAGCCAAATCTATTCTGCCATTCTTGAGTTATAAGTGGTGTAACTAACACGACTTTCTTTTATATATATGTTACCGGCCAAACCCGATTTCAGGACAAACTAGTTTTGCCTAGGCCAAACTAGTTCTTCCTATACACGTTAGGATGAACTAGTATAGCCTAGTTTAAACTAGTTTGTCCTAAGCCCGATAGGATAAACCAGTTTAGGCTAGGACAAACTTGTTGATCCTGATATAAAGACGTACACTCTAGGATTTTGTTTTTAAAAACCTAATACTATGCTCGATCCGGGAATCGCACCCGAGACCCCTTGCCCGGCAGTCGCATTTGCTACCACTTGGCTAACGAGGCAGTCACCCTGTTTTTTAATAAACGCAATAATCATACTACGACTACGCCATACCAGTTTATCCTAGAGTGGATAACAAGTTTGTCCTAGCCTAAACTGGTTTATCCTATCGGGCTTAGGACAAACTAGTTTGAACTAGGCTATACTAGTTCATCCTAACGCGTATAGGAAGAACTAGTTTAGCCTAGGCAAAACTAGTTTTTCCTGAAATCGGGTTTGGCCGGTAACATATATAGATTACACTGAAACAATACTATACCTCAAATCTCTAATTCCTACAAAGCCGGCAATTGCAACTTCTCTGGTGTTACCGAATATCTATGGGTGGCACGCCAATTGCTTACCATCAGGTGATCCGTCAGCTCGTTTGCCACTCTATGCCATTAAAATACTTATAATAGTATATGAAAACACAAAGTTGTCTTAGGTTATACCTAATCTCGATTTAAAAAAAAATCTCACATCAGGAACTAAGTTTTCCACCATATCCATCTATCACTATCATCATCATCCATGCATAATAAACGAGTTGATTTATTAATCGTACTCATGTTTTGCAGGAATTCAATCAATCAGGCGGTCTCACCAAATGCAAGCCACGTCGTTTACTTCTACTGAACGACCTAGTGGTATGTGTGTCAGTGGGCGCGGCGGGCGAGGAGGCGGAGAGACTCGGACTGAAGTGGGCGCACCCCGTGCAAGACGTCGACGTGCTGGACACGGGCACCTCGCCCACACTCAGCAGGGTGCTCGCACAAGGTATGTAGACACTGGTAAGGCGGCTGAACTGGTCCAATGACAGCTCATCAGATGGCACGAACGTAGTGTAAGGTCTTGTTTTTCTAATCATTGTAACTTATGTCCAATGACTACATATTAGCAAAGAGATATCGCGCTACACTAATAATCATGGCGAGGTTAACCCTCGCGATAGTTTCGTTACTTTAAGTTCTAATGGACAATCTCCATAATGAGTAACGACCGAACTTTAAATGATATAGGTTCAATATATGGATTGAGATCGATTTTTAACATCATTTTTATTTATGTAGTTTCTATTAACAGATAGATCTGAGATCTTGGTCTAATATCAGTTAATTATTATGTTTTCTTTTTATTCTATTTCATACATTACTTTCCAACATTTAATGAAAGCCAATATTTAAAATAAAAAACCCATAATCGTATAAAAAGCAAACCCAATAACTAAACCTACCCATCTTCCAGGTATGAACCGCAGTGGCAGTCTCCGGTCCAGCTCAAGCAGTAGTATGTCGACGTCGACAGGAGACTCCCTATGCAGTGAGATGTCAGCGCTGATGCATGACTATGAGACTGTATCTCGCATGGCTGACCTGGCTGCGTCGCTGCGCGCCCCATACCCTGAGCTAGGTGCAGACACCTTCCGAGCCTTACTGCAGAACATACAGAGGAGTATACAGGTAAGAGATTCTTTAAATAAATCGCTCCTATTTTGTCCACATCCACAAATGAATCAATAGTCCACCACATGATCACACCTTTCATTAACAAACTTGAGTTTTATTTTCAAAATGTTAATTAATTAATTGAAATTAGAATAGGACCCATCAAGACCTAATAGTAGCCAATTGAATCTGAGTGATTCATTATTGTCCAAATGTCCAATCAGTGAAAAGACGTTCACTGTTGAATATAGATATACCCTAGTGACTTCCAAGATCATTAAATTTGAAATGAAGTTCTGCAGACATTTTACTTTGACCATAACTAACACCAATCTTCATTATAGAAAAAAGACGACGAGATGGCATGGGTAGATTCCTGCTGCCTGCAACTGACGATACGAGGTCGTGAAGAGCCATTGACCTTCCGCGCTAGTGAGCCGGGTGCGAGGCTAGCGTGGGCGACAGAGCTAAGGCTCGCCCAACTAGCACAGGCCTCCGCTAACTCACCCGCGTGGAGATTCCCGTCACAACTTGCGCCGGCGCATAAGATGCCACTGTTTGTCGCTGCTACACCCGTGTATTCTTCGCGGCAACTTACTGAGGTTTGTAACTATTATGTTGACTTTGGAATTTGTACAATTTTAGCAGTGAAGCTGATCCTAGTAGCTTTCTTTAATTGCTAAGTTTCTTATGTAGTCTGATTAGCCATTTTATGAATATTATGTTAATTACTATAGAATAAGACTTATATTGTTTATATATTATATAATTACTATAGAATAATACCTTTCTGTAGCACAACTAACATTATTTCGGAAGTTTAAAGTGATATATGATATGATTAATTGCAACATTTATAATAATTATCGTAAGACATTCTAAATTAACTAGAAATCGCGGGTTACTCACGTATCATGGGTGATTCGAAACTAGTAGAGGTTTTCTCAGTATATTCACGTGAGTAACCTGCGATTTTTAGTTAATAAATGGTTTTTTTAAGAAATACAATTTTTATCAGTTATCTGAACTGTTTAAACAACCTGTTGATTTGTAAGTACAATACAATCATGATAAAATGTGTATAGGTTCGTTGCGGATGTTTCTACACGTCCTGCGGCGGCGGTCGCGGCGGTCCCCTGCGCCGCGCGCGCTCCTTGCTGTGGGTGAGCGCGGGCGGCGCCAGTGACAGCCATGTCGCAGTACTCACGCACCGCGCTGCTAAACTCAAGACTCTCGTCACACTGGACCTGCCTGATACCAAGGTACTAATACCACATACATTTTCCACATTTCGACTCAATTCGTCTATCATCGGTAACGTCAATCGGCAATCGTCAGTAACGTCCGAAGATTCAACGGCTACTCTATTTTAAGTACCTTACTTAAATATCGTGCTATCTTCGATCTCTGTCAATTTACAAAGAATTGACAGAACTTTACTTAACTCGTCGAGTACCGGTTTTATAGACACAATTAAAGAACAATAGGTCGCGGTCACCGGTGACCGCTCGGTGTTTGACAGATTAAACTGAACTTAAAATGAGTAGATAGAAATCCGTGAGTTAACCCATCACTAATTATATCGGTTACAGGTTACCTCAATGGAATTCGCACGCGGAGTACGACAAGCAACAACACTCTGCGGTGACACAGTATGGCTCGGAACTGATGACAAGAAAATCATAATATTTTCTGCAGTTGAACCCGAGAAGCAAGAAAAGTTAACGGAAGTGCCAACGATCGCGGCTATCACGCAAATTCGATATCATTGTGACGCCATGTTTGTAGGACTGGCTAATGGACGAGTGTCAGTGTACCGACGGAACCACGATGACTCCTGGGCCCTGCAGGAGCCGCTCGCCATCGAGCTCGGGGACCGGCCCGTGCACTGCGTGCTGCCAGTGGACGGCATCATATACGCGACCTGTGCGCGCAGGGTCTTCGCCATCAACGCACTCACCGCGGAGATCATGCGCATACTGGAGCTCAAAGGAGACGGCGACCGATCCGTCAAGTACCTCGCCCATTCCGGTGTCGGACTGTGGACCGCCTTCTCAGACTCCACCTACGTCAGCTTGTACCACGCTGAAACATTCGAACACCTCCAAAACATTGACATCGCTGCTGATGTCGCGAAAACGATTGGTGCTAGAGAGGGAAGTAAACCCGCGTACGTGTCCGCTCTACTCGCATGCCAGGGACTACTGTGGGTCGGCACTACGGCTGGAGTCAGTGTTACTGTACCACTGCCCAAGCTGGAAGGACTCCCGCTTATAGGTGGACACATCGCTGCCTCGTACCACGCCCACGCTGGACCCGTGTCGTTCCTACTTTCATTGATGCCGGAAACTAAAGATGTAGATGTAAATACAGTTCGGCGGAATTTATCCAACGCTCGTGCTCTCGCCGATACCGTTAACCACACGTTGCATGAATTTAAAGAAGAGAATGGTAAAGAAGATAATGATAAACCGAAACTAGAGCGACGGATATCAGAAGACGCCAGCCCTTACCGACCGCAGCGCGTCCAGTCAACCGTGGTGCGACGGAAGAAACCGGGCGACGTGCGTCTCAGTAAGACATTACCAAAATGTGCGAACTTGAACGCTTGTGACGTATACGGGTTGTACGGAGACTTGATGTTCGTGAAGGACTGTGTCGGCGAGGCTGACGTGGGAGGCTCGGGCGGGGAGGCTCTAAGGAGGAGTGACCCCGAGCTGGCCGCGATACCTTTCCGTGTTAGTACACTTGACCGACGCTTGCGCATGCGCGCTGGTAGACCTCGTAGTTTGGACCTATCAAGCTGGTCGGTGGACTCCCGTGCCTCCAGCCTATGTACGTCGTCGGGCAGTGAGGAGTCTATGGCACTGCGTGGAGTGTCGAGGACTAGTTCGGGTGCATCAGGTGCGGCTGCTTTGGCTCCGGTGGCTGCGTCCACGCCTGACTCATCGTCAGCCAAGTCCAGTGCGTCTGAGCGTTCTTCCTGTCGCACGGAGGGCAGTGCGGAGCCGCGCGGGGGCGCGGGGCGCAGCCTGCGCGGCGCGGACTACGTGGTGGGGGCGAGCGCGGCGCGGCGCTCGGTGCTGACGGTGGTGGGCGGGCGCGGGTACGTGGACTGGCGCCAGACGGCGGACGCGGCCGAGCGCCCGCAGCCGGCCGCCGACCCCAACCCGAAAGACGCGCACCTCATACTCTGGGAGATGCGCTTGTGACCGCTCTGCTACGCTCGACTCGGGGAGTTCGCCGCTCCCCTGGGATCGTTCGCTCGGCGAATGTTTTGTGTATACTCGGCGATTTACGTGTCATATTAAATTTGTCGACGGCCTGTATATATAGTGCTAATACGTAGACTCGTTATGTTAAGGTTTACACGAATACGAAGATGCTACTACACTTATACACGTCCGTTAGCATTGCACTGAAATAATATTGATGTGTGACACAAATATTTACATTTGTAAAATTATGCGAAGCTTTAAATTATTTTTTGAAGTTGGAGCTACTTATGCGCTGGCTCGACGTTTACATTGGTTTAGTATTAACACTTGAGAAGTGGTGCATTATTTTGTGATCATCTATTGAAATGTTGGTAAATTCATATTTAGGGTACATTATAATGTAATTTTACGTTCTTTAGCGACACTAGTTGTGCCCTTTTATGGACGACTTGACCAATCACTTACATATTACGTGTTTATAAAATACATTTTAGAATTCACACAGTTATCATGATTTTGAAATAAAACTTGAACGTTATACACAATTATAAATTGGATCTGATTTGGCCTAATATTTTCATTTGGCAGGACCATTCAACATGATTTGCAGCTAATGTCATTATGAAATCATTTGATTTTTTAAATTATTGAATCAGTCAATTAATTTACCACTAAAAGTTACACTAAACCTCGTCAAATGTGTAAAGGAACGAAACGATAATTACTACGAAGATTGTTATGTAAAATATAAATTAATCAATGTATATTTTCAGTGTAAATTATAATGAATAACATACCGCCTCTGTTTAAGTTAAATTACATTTTAATAAAATTTGATTGTATGATCCTGAAGAAATTCCAATAACATTAAATTAGTTTCGTGTCAATATTAACATTTTACTAATTTTATCTTTAGTTTTGGATGTAAATCGGTTTGCATAACAATTAACAATACATAGTGGTGGCCTTATTATGTACTTGAAAATTTCCAGTGTATGATTTGTATAGCATTTGTTTAAGCTTTATTGTTAGACATTAATGTCGCTTTAAGAATTAGACTGATTTAGCTAAGCGTTAAAATGTACTGTTAATGGAGTTATTAGTAAATAAGGAAAAAAACGACATTGATCTTTCTCAAATATCAGTGCACTTTAACAAAGCAATGCATGCATTGCAGCGAAAGTGATCACATTTTAAAATCGAACGAAAAGCTTTTACAAACTTGATTTGAACAATTGTTGAATTTATTATATTTATGTATACTGTATGTAATGTACTTGATGTTGATCTTGTCTACACTATGTTGTTAACCACGGCCGCTGTTCCGTATGAAGTTTGCTCATGTTTTGTCAAAGTTTATAATTAAATTATCACTTTACAACACATGTTGTTTTCCCAATAGTTGATATATTCTTACAATTCTATTAAAGTTAATCGTTATTGTATTTGTTTTCGGTCAGTAATCTCACAAAGCAATATTGTTTTGCACGCCCAAAGAATTCATAGTAAGTCACGCATTACGAATATTAGATGAACCACAAATTGAAATGTGCCAAATTGTAATTATCTGAAACCTAATTATTTGGTGTACATACATTTTGTACAGACGTATTGTATGACATGTATTTCTTTTCTCATGTATTTAGGCACAAAGTTATATGATACATGAGAAATGAAATATCTCTTTATTAATTTAATTTTGTAAATACAGGAATGTAAAAGGAAATCTTGAAATAGACACAAATCTGTTTTTTGTTTACCTATATCTATTATACCATTGGAATATTTATGCTGCAAAACGTCACAAGTGTACTTTTTGTGTAAATAAATTTAAGTTTATACATATACACACTGTATTTGTTGTTTTATTGATGGGTTCCGTAAAGTATTAAAAAGCTAGAATAATTTGTAAAGGTTTATTGTTTCTTAAAAGTTCATTATGAGGTCTGATTGGTTTGTTTTTGTAATTTTGTTGTTATGTACTATCTTGGTCAGTGGCTAAGGTAATCCTGCAACAAAGAAAGGACTAAATATAGATAGTATTTTTATAAGAGACTATAAAAAGTATTTTTAGTATGTTTAAACATCGAAGTCGACATTTATCCAACCCACAGCTCACTGAATAGGAATACCGAAACGAAATTACAAGCTATGTCGTATAGTATAGGTTCTTATGTATCTATAATCAGCACATATAGAACTTCGTTAGGAAGTAATACAGGTACATATAGGCTGTATACACTGAATACTTACGGTAGTGTTGTTTGCATTGTTTCAGTGCTTCATTGTATGCCTGGCATTGTGTGATGTCTTCGTTATTAGTTGCACAATGCAGAAATTGTGATATTTCATATGCGCAGGGGCCGCTTGGTTCCGATCCTAGCTGGTAGTCCCGTGGCAGGGCGTGCACTACTTCTTCTCGACGTCGACCACTAAACAGGCTTGTTATAGCTTCGCCCGCCAAGTGGCCCTAAAAAAGTATAAATTGTGAAGCAAAGCAAAACTGACTTGCTAAGAAAATCACTGCAATTAGTAATTCAAAACACAAATCTTATTAGACAATGTTACTCTTACTCTGTGTACCTGATTAGTGTGACGTTATCATTTATTATGCATACATAGTTAGGTAGTACGTAGTGACTACAAAATTGATATATTATTGCAATAGATTCAACTTGACCCTGTGTGAGGCTGCGCAACAATATTACAATTCCCTACATTTAGTACAAGTATTTAAAAAGTAAGACAAACAAATACAGTTCATATTTACAAAATTAATTTTAAGACTTCAAGATCCAAGAACTTGATTCGTTATTCGTACCATAGTCGTGCCGACGGTGACGCCTCCAGCGATAGATGCCGCATCTCTGAACATAGATCTCTGTGGCGGCATGGGTGTGAAAACCGGGGGAGGTGGATGGGCGGGAGCATGTTGGGATCCCCGTGAGTACCGTGTACCGCTACTGTATCCAAACGGTGCACATTAGGGTAGTAACAGATCTAATAGGCACTTAATACCTAGGTACAGAGCTGTATTATCCATAGGCAAAATAAGAAAGTGCCTGGTGCGCAAGGTTACAGAGGGCCGCCGTGAGACGCGTGTGCCCAACTGCACATACCTCGAATACTGAGTCTACACAATTTTTAGTTAAACTTATGTACTTAAATACATCACTGTCATTTTACAAAGAGTTTGTAGTTTCAGAACTATATACATAAGCGCTGCTTAAAATTGAATGGCGTTTGAGTATTCAAACAGTAGTGGCAGAAAATTCGGGGTGCCTATGAGGCGCTTTCTAGGTTTAATACGTCTCTGCCTAGGTACTATGACAAAGGTACAAAATCTATCAAGTACTACCGTTTCTTTCTTGCTTCACATCTGCCACACATATTTCTCTATTGTAATTGTAGTTGATTAGACTGTTGTACCTAATTATTTCGAGTAGAGCCTGCAATGCAATTTAATTAGGTAGGTACTTAATTTAACAATTGACATCTTAGAAACATTTACAGACTCGACTCTTAGACTAGCCAACCAATATTGGGGAACATTTTCATAATTAACTACACAGTACCTACATGAGTATTTCATTGAAAAGTAAAACTTGAGAGATCCACGACTATATTTCTGTGTCCACGACTGATATGCCTAAATCTCCATTTTGCTACTTAAATATTTGATTTACACAGGCGCTTGAATTATCAAAAATCAATCGATTAATATTGATGCAAGTTCAGTAATGTTATTTTTTTATTAAGATTATATCGATAGATTTAGCATTTTGCCAGTTTTATACTAGGTGAGTTGGTAGATTCGTAGGTACCTTCTGGTAATAAGTAGCTGGGCTTATAGTAGTAAACCAAAGGTTCTAAACTTAGTCGCGGAGAACCTAACGGGTAACGGTAACCGGGGTTCCGGCTCGACGTGCAGGAGAAGGAACGGGGTGGTTTTTAGTCAGTAAGAGTCTGACACTCCCTTCTGCCTCACCCAGGCGGGAGCAGTCATTCGATGATTTTCCCCCCATAAAAAAAAAGGTTCTAAACTTACTACTTGTTCCTATTTACGTATAAATTCAAAGTTCCGATAAAACGTTAAGAATTTTAAAGTGTCTAATTCGTTGTAGGAGTACTTGTATTGTTGAAAAGAAAATACCTAAGATAAAATGATATGAAAAAAGAGTAGGGTGATGAAATTTAAAGATAATTTGGTTAATGTAGGTAGTCCATTTCCATTTATGACTCAGGTACCTACCCCAGCTCATAAACATTAAGAATTGGTTGGATAGGTAGGTACTAGCTTCATATATCAGGAACGCCAAAATTGGAATCAATTGCATTTAAAATACTTATTAAAAACATGTTCATAGTTCAATAACGTGCCAGAATATTCTTTCTTGGCAATAAAATTTGGCGATAGTCCAACAGTTCCGACCTATGCTATGCCTAAATTGTGATAACGTCAGCTGCGTAGGTAACAAACCCAGCTGAAACTGTCTTTTTTTCCAGAACTAACCAGTTATTTATTTTGACTGTTATTTTGTGAATCACATCACCTATTACATATGAAACTAGAATAAGTCCTTACTAGTTTACCGAATAGTTATGTACATCGTCAAAAAAACTGGTGGGCCGTGGACATTTTTGAACATTTTCAGTAGGTTGTGAATAAACGCTCCTGCTGTCTGTGGGTGCAAATTGCATTGTTAGATCAATTTAGATTGATCTAACAATGCAATTTCCACATCGATATGGCTAGCCATATCCACTTTGGATTCAACCTAGAACTTAGGTAGGTACCTACTACGGAGAGCAAATTTTGACTGTGGGAATCGTAATAATATTCAGTAATATTTTTACGACTCCTACATCATATCATCTCAGGCAACAAAGCATGAAGTATAGTTGAGGACTGGTAGGACGGGTCGGCGAACAAAGTTCGAAGAAAAAACGGCCGATGGCCATGGTGCAGAAAGGTTCTCGAATGGAGGCCACGTACCTGAAAGTACATTACAGGACGTCCACCCTCAAGGTTTATCTAGACGGCCAAATAATACATAGGTACAAGATAGCAAGGACTGGTGATAAAGGTCACTATGGATGTCTTGTGATTATAGTTGTTTATTATCCTGTCGATCCCATATCCCTTAACTGGCCGATTACAAGTAGTATTTTTACACAATACACAGCAATGATTTTTGCAAGATTGGCAATAATTAATGCGAGACTTAGCCTGTAACAATGACGTCAAAGCTCTACGGTCAGGGCTGACATTCAGCACTTTAGGACGACTGTAAAATCAGCATAAAAACGTTGTGTAAAATTAAATCTATTTTGCTTATTGCACAATTGTATGAAATTGTTCCCTATTATTTGTTGGCATTACAAACTAAATAAAACACAAGTTTTGGTTTTTGGGTTGTATATTTTATTGTTCTAAAAGTAAAAGAAACAGATATAATCAGATAATAGAATTCTACATCACAATAAAGTGTCTTAAAATATTAAATAAAAAACAAAAATAAACCACTAACAATTTGCAACATGATAACCTAAGAAGCGTAGGAATTCTTCAAGCTAAGTCAGAAATAGTAGATACTAGGTAGGTGCCCCATTTGTTTATCTAAACAAAATGTTTTTATGCTACAAAAAAGTTTTATGTTAAAGACAGATTTATACAATCTCTTGTATAACATAAAAAGATGTGTTGTAAAATAAATCATTATGACAATAATTTAATTATCATCTAATGGCACCTTGAAGAATTAATTTAAATGTGGTTGTTAATCTTGCATTGACGCAAAGCCTCATTAAAGCCCTCACAGAGGGTCAAGTCATGCTGTTGTTGAGCACATTCAATGAACTGCTTGATCTCCCAAGCACAAGGACCCTGAGGAGTCTGGTTTTGGTATTGGTTGAGAGTCTGAGCAGGTGGTTGCGCTTGCACTTGCTGCTGTGCAGGCTCACTGCTGCTGCCTCCACTAAACAAGCCAGTGAGGGCACTACCAGCTACATGACCCTGCAGCAAAACATGTACAAATCCTTAAAAACATGCTTTAAAGAAATTTGCAACATCTCTTTATTCAAGTATTAATTTCACTAGAAAGAAAAATCATTTATCATTATGCCAATAATAAAACATGCAATAATAATATTTATTGTGCATAATGTCAATTCATGTAAACAAAAACGACTGATTCATGATAACGTCACACTAACATGTGACCATCTTCACATTGCTTGGCTCCTAGCCCAAACTTAATACAACTGCAAAAAGAGGCATAATAGCACATTTTAATATGAGTAGGTAAATTACGCTGTAAATCAAATATTTCAAAGTTTAAGGTCAAAAATGCATGTTTACGTTACGTAATAACAAATTACGCACCACTGCTGATCCGACGGCGACACCTCCAGCCGTGGCTGCCATCTGCCCAAACATTGAAGGCTGTTGGGGTTGGGCCATTGCCGGGGCTGGGGTGGATGGAGGAGCATGAGCAGGGACGCGACTCGGAGCTGGTGGTGGTGCAGCCCTAGAAACACCTCGCTAGGTTATCTTTTGAGCATGATGAAATAAAATGTAATTTCAAAGTAAAGGACATAACTTACCTCCTTTGAGGAGCTGGCGGTGGGCTTGCTGATCTTCCACGTCGAGGCATTCTTATAGATACTTTATTTACTTGTGATTACACAGAATTCGTGTTCAATCAAGAACAACACTTCCAATAAAAAACTGACACTTCGTGGCTTCACTGTCAAAATTCTAGCAATGATGTATGGCAACTGAAGAACAACAAATTTTCTAGAATATTTTATAAATGGAATCGCTATTGCTATCTCAGTTTAAACTCGGCTATAATGCCATGACAGAAAGAGAAAGAACATTTTGACAGTTATACCAACATCACGGCAATAAAAATATGGATGCGTTCTTTTTCTAAATTGTTTTTCAAATCGCGAAAAAATAGCAATGTAAAAAAGTATTTTATTTATAGAAATACTTTTAGCGGAAGTTATTTATTTATTATATTTTTTGAAATCATAATTAAACTATAATATTTTTATCATAATGCACTTACGACTTAGATGGGGTGTCGTACATAAACAGCTAGAGGCCAATAAAATATGTTTTCTTTATAAAAAAAAGAAAATTCTAAACTAAAACGATTTACCTGCTTCTGAAACCTCCTCCTCCTCTACCTCTACCTCCTCTCGGCATACTATTTTGTTTTTATTATTGATTATTATGGTTGGTTATGGTTATTTCGGCATTTTCAGTACTGTTTTGATTGATTTTTTTTTGTGTTCAGAAGTTATTGGCTTGAATTTTCTGTCTGTACGTTGTTTCAAGCCAGTCCGCCACGTTATTTCAAAAAGGTTTTTGTCTATACACAAGCGGAGAAAAAGCACATTAAACGCTCGTAGCAACTTATAAAAAAATGAATTTCTGTAAGCATTGCGAGTTGTACCTACTTCATTATAAGTGGGTCGCACATTAGCAGTCAATCAAAATACAGCATAATAATTATAAGTGCCTACTGATGAACAAAGATCTTTTCTCACACGGAGAAGCTATGAGCACGAGCGTTTTAATCACAGTAACATACTCAAGTTTATAGGTAAAAAATTATAAGTTCAGGTTTCCGCACGATCCACCTGACCACCTGACGCAAGTGCTTTCCGGGCAGGAAAGTTTCGAGAATTCAGGGGGTGGAAACCGGGTCTCGACCACGATGGAACACGGTAAGAATTCTGGTGTGCCCTGGTTGTGCTGAGCACGGCGACCTGTCGCTTCAAACTTTGGGGAACTGAGAAAACATCTCCTTCTTTTGCGAAGCAGTCATTCATACTATCTAAGGAGAAGGCGGAACTCGTATGGGAAAGATCCTCCTCACGTCTCGGCCACCGCAGAGGATCCCCCGACGTCGGGGATCTTGCGACGATTTTCGGCCATCTTTTGTGCGGGTTTGCGAACGGAGAGGCAAGGTAGTTCGCCGCCCGACCACAACCAGACCCAAGCGTAGGGGAGCGTCGCGTACCGCGCGTGTGTCAATGATTCATCAGTCAACCATAAAGCCCGACTGGGGCTGCTGACGACCTTGCGGAGTACTGGGGTCCTATCTTTGAGCAGGAGTACAAACGAGATGATTTGTAGTTAGTATGAATCTGACGATTCCTTTCACTCCCGGTGGGAGAAGTCATAATATTTTTTACTTTTAACAAAGTACAAGGAAATAATATCGATACCACAGTATGTAGTAGCGGTATTATTTAATAAAATAGATTAAATAAGACATACGTAGAACTGAATTTAAGGATTATTTTTTAAATAAGAGAAAAAGTAAATTAAAAGAGGGCGAACTATGATCGAAACTGGTATGATCCCATTTGAGATTAAAATAAGTTTTTATTGAATTAATCATGATAAATAATTACTACCACGTGGTTTGCATGCTGTTGGATATGTGAATAAAATAAACTTCATTGACCGCGTCGACCTTGCATCAGTACGATTTACTGAATAACATGTTATTTCATTCAGTCATTGAATGAATGTAATCCGTTTGTATCATTCATTCGCGTAGGAGAGAAACAGCAAAAATATCTGTGGTCAGTTATTGTGACTTTGTGACCGCGTGATCGTAGCTGTCGTGATTTTCGATTCCGTAAATTAAAACGTTTTCGTGAAGAATATTGAGTGAAAATGGGCGATAATTTAGCCGGTCAGAACGTAAATGTATTCCTATTAGGAGGAATTACATTATTTTTCTGTGTTATACTGCATTTTGTATACAAGATCGTTTTCAAAAGCAAGAAAAAGGAAGCACTACAAGATGAAAATGAGAGCAATTCAGGTAAGTTTAATAGTAAAACAATACATGTAGCAATAAATTAGGAAAATAAAAACAAGTCGCTTCAACAGTTAATATATTAATTAAATAAAGGTTGGGAGGATGTTATAAAATTCATATAAAAAAACGGCGGCAGAATTTCTTCGCTGGGTATCTTGCGGTTTTGTTGGATGTGAATGGACGAAGCTATAACTAACTGTATACGAAGAATGCAGCTGACACACTTCGTGTGTGTCATGAATAGATATATCTTTTGCTAAGCATCTTTACCCACATTTCAAGTTGGCTAAAAGTTTGCTAACAAGTAGGTAGGTGGTCATGCCATGTGCTCACTGATCCCACAGGAAGTAGGAACAAAACTGCATGGAATGGCGCGCGCAAATATTTATTAGGAGATAAATCAATTAATTTTAATTAACCATAAGGACAAAGTATGATTTTAAAAACGGAAAAAATGAATAAAAAATTGATAAATGCTTTGACAAGTTCATTTATAGGGTAGCTTAGCATTACAAAATACAGTTGAAAAAATTATAACACCTTTGCATCAATCAAATAATTGTAAGTGATAATTATAAAAAAATTAATCCTTCATTCATTAATAAATAAGATCTAATCTTAGGTAATTTCCCTAACTATTTATATGTTACACAGAATGTTTGATGCATAATTTAATTTTATGCATACAATTGTAACCTTATTGCACCATGTGGCTATCTTGCAAGCAAGCAATACTTCACTAATTTATTGTAAAGGACAAAATTTTATTGCTAAAAATTTGAATAAATTTTACATAAAAAGGTTGTTCCACTTATTACGTCTAAATAACTGCTTTGAATTACAATAACATTTAAAACAAAATATTTTATTACAAACCTGTGCCATGTGTATTTCCTGGTTTGTTGGTATTATAACACTATGTTGTATTTACTCATTATAAAAAAATGAATTAAAAACAATATTTTTTTTACTTTGTTTTGTTTTTTTATAGCATCTGATGTAGGTATGCCATGCTATAGAAATCCAATCTAAACAATACATTTTAATATGCTATAATGTAAGTTTACATTTGAACAAATAATATACTATTCAAAGAACATTATTGAACTTGTTTATACAGTTAAATAATATGAACCTATTTATTTAAAAATATGATTCATTTTATTTTGCAACATTTTTATTTGACTTTTCAGGTCATGTCTACCTTACATTTTTTTTTAATATTTGGAATATTTACTGCTGTTCATTAACTATACAATTAAAATTATATTCCCCATTGTGTTAAAGGAAAAAAAAAACAATATAATGATGATTACAATGAAATGTATAAAGCATAAAATTAAAAAAGTGACAGTCCATTATAATTCTTTTTTATCTTAATAATCTTATTTTTTCACTTAATCTGTGTTGTTGATTATTAAGGAAATAAGGAAAATGTTACTTTCTTGATCATAAAAATTTAATTAATATAAAGATAGTAGGAATAAATAAAAAACATTACAAAATATTTTTTCAAACAAAGTAGGTAATATAAGTTTTATTTCAGTACAGTGTGTTGTGGTCTCACTTTCTCTCGACATTTAAGTGAACATAAACTTACGTAAGGAGCTTTAAGTCGTTTACTTTCGGCACTAAATATATTATAGTGTAAACACTGTTTTTTTCTTTTCGATTTCATTGCACTTAACCTATTCATATTTTATGTGCAATATATTCCTCCACAGATTTTATCATGTTTAATATAAACGACTGGCTTGTGCCAGCGACGTTTCCCGCTTTATCGGGATAAATGGTTGACTATGTGTAATTCCAGACAAATATCTATGTCTGTGCTAAATTTCGTTCAGATCTGTTCAATAGTTTTTACGTAAAAGAGTGACAAGCGTACATACATTCTCTTTAAAAAAAATCGCATCGCATTTTTAATATTAGTAAGATAGAATAGAGGACTACTAAGAAAACGCATAATTTTTTTATTACCCATGTAGGTTTTCTAGGTACTTTCATTAAAAAAAAGCAGTTGCCAACCACATGGCATTGCTTAGAACTTTCGAGGCGTTCTACCAACATAATGCAACAATAACACCATCTGCCGCCAAACGACTTTGTATGAGTTGAATGTGCTCAAGACCGTATTAAAAAAAACAACATAATACGTAAGGCAAACTTACTATTTTTTCAATCATACCTCTACAAAAGAACTTTCTTTCGTTTTCGTTGCATTATCTTAATTTGCGATCAGCTTTAGATATAGCATTGAGCAGTGAGTTAGTTAATAGCTACTAAACTAACAATAGCTTAAAAAGTCTTTCAAAATTATATTTTCGCACGGCAACTAAGCCGCATTTCATTTGTTTAATTAGGTATAAATAACTGTTACAATAACGACATTGTTAAAGAATTGTTTGCTATGGTTATTATTAAAAATTGCAATAGGTATTTTCAGGTGTCCTTGTGACATTAGTGTATCCAAGAAGGCATAAGTTTATTCAACTCTTAGTATGTCTAGAGCAGGTGTGTTCACCGTTTGATTCGCCTGAATAGTGAATACATATTATAATAATCTGATGAGTCATTAAGGAACTGAGTAATCGTAAATTGATTATATTAAACGCTTATCTTATCCAAGATCAATACTATATTTCATAGAATGTACGTTTTATCGTTGGTAGTAAGGTCTAATTTGGTCAAAATCAATCGAAATATTTTTATAAAGTACTAAAATAGGGGTCGAATGTTCATCAACTCTAGGGGAAAATGTTGGATTGTTTTGAAAATTTAATCAAGGCTATCTTATCTGTGATCAGCGCAAAATTTCACAGAATAACATTTTTATCGTGTACTCCTTATGTACCTACTAATTAGCAATTTGTCAAAATCAATTGATAAAAATAAATATTTAGTCAAAACAATATAAAGAAAATGCAGTATTTAACGTAACGGAAAATTTTGATAGGTTTTATTTCTCGGAGACTGCCATGCCTGACTGAGGTATAACTTAAATAAATTTTCAAACATACGCCTACAAAAAGACACGTAAGTGACTGACATCATCATCTTCTAATTCCCACACGAGACAGGTATGTTCGTGCGTACGAGGAAACTATAGACTTGCAATTGTAAGAAGATATAGCATGTATATTACCGTAGGTATATCAGTTCAGAAATTTTTGTCCGTTAGTCATCGCGAGATCATGACTTTATAACGGGAATTTTATAAGCATAACGTCAACCTAGTTATTTTTTAGCTGGCCCACTAACTATTATAATGACACGTTTCGTCATCACACAACAATTTTTATGATGCATTTGTCCTGTCACCGTAACTATTGAAGCATTTGAGAAGTAGAGGAAAGAGGTAAACAAGTCTGAGCTAAACTAGAAGAATGTCTAATTTATTGTTTTGTGCCAAGTGAATGACCTGTCGTCAGTCCGTTCTGCACTAATATTTGATCAATATACCACTTAATATTTTTTTGGAAGTCGTACAGACCGTATAGAGTGCAAGAATCTTAAGTTCATCGTCCTCTCTTAATCGCGCGGTCTGTCTGTCTTTTATTTAGGTACCTGTTAGTAATGAGTGTGTTACTTGTTTTATAGGCGCTCCCGCGGAAGAAGTAAGCTCCGAACCGGCAACAACTGAAACGCGTGTCAGTGGAAAATCGAAGAAACGGGCGACATGGAAAGGGAAAACGGAATTCAGCCATCCATGGCTGTTAAAGAATCTCAAGGGACACCCGGGCACAGTACTTCTGGTGGACTTCTCAGCCAACGGCAAGTTCATGGCCGCTACATGCGATGGTGAGTTACCTTGCTGATAACGTACTTGTAACTAATGAACATTCTCACGCTAAGAATGTATCTTAATTACCATTGAAAAGTAACGGGCTCATTTTCAATTTACACTGTAATTAAATCTGATGCATGATAACTAGATTAAAAATGTAAATACAGTATGTGTGCATGTCTTGTAAATATTTAATGCTATGTCAGGGAAGGGAAGTTTTAATGCAGGCATACTTTAAGTTTAAAACATAATTCGCGTTGAATTATTAAATATTGATTTATCTTGAATTATGAGCCCGTTATACGCTAGTCTCCGTTTAACAAGAAAGTAGGTATAATAACTGTTATGATAATGATATTATTTTGCTTTTAATCCAAAGTATAATTAATGCATGCGTACTCTCTTGTTACACCAAACTGGCAAAATGTATTTATTTTATTAACATTCAGATTTAATGAGGAAACACAGGCATGGTTGAAATTCTATATTATTTAGTTGGCTTACACAAAACATTTAAAAATAAATACAAGTTTACATAATTCGTTTATTATGTTTTTACATAACATATTAAGCTGGTCTGGCCTCACTAGATTTGGAGTTACATAACCGATCGGATCTAAATTTCAACAAGATACCGTATAAACGGCGTATAGTACCTATATTTACAAATAAAAAAAATAACTGGTTTCCTATTTTTCCTATAAATCTTGCTGAAATTAAGATGAACGGTCACGTGACTTATATTATCGTAAGTGTTGGTTGGACATAGTGCTCTCATATATACACATGACATCTCAATAAATCAATGTTAAAGTCATTTGTTGCAATAAATGTTCAGAAACAAATCTGTCATATAAAGAGAGCAATGTGTCTAACTTTATCAATCTAAGCTTATCGTGCAGGCATTAGAGTTTTGATTCGTCTGATAAAACTTTTTGAGAAATAATGGATATTGCGAAATGTATTGTTTGCTTGGATGGCTTCAAGTCTAATGACTGCACGAGGAAGCAGCGAGCTCGTGGTTCCGCCCAAGGCCTCGCGTTTTTGTCCCACTCCGCTACGCCACTGTTATGTGTAATTTGGAGGTCCGCCGGTCGAAGTCACTCCCAAGGCTGTTTGCTACTGGAATCATCCAGAATCGCCGTCAAAATATGCACTTCATTACATCGTTGCATAATCTGCAACGAATATTAGATTTCCTAATCGAGTGAAAGGCGTAAACAAACTGAAGTTGATTACCATTTTCAAATATTGAAGCCGCAGTAAGATTCATAGAGCGTGAAACCGAACCTTAATAATACAGTTCTAATTGATTATAAGTAGTTCTATGACAAAAGATACTGATTACCACTCGATGATACTACTTTTAGCAAAGTAGTTAGTTGTTGTATAATTCTGATACTGCAATCTAATCTAATTATGTTAATAAGTGCATAATACCACATAAGAGTGATAGTCGGTTCATTCAAACGTTATCTATTGATAAGTTCACTTTACTAGCACACAACGTACTAGTAATTCAATAGGTAAGCTACTATATTTAGCAATTTTCGTAGCAAAATCGATAAACTCGTATTTAGATTCGTCTTGAAAACAATATTGTATAATATCACATTTTAATTAATAATTTACACAAATGTTAAATTACCATAACTGGTATTTTAATATTTATTTTTAAAGATTTCGGTACATGAAATTCATAACATAGTGATTTCGTACTATAACTGTAGGCATTTTGATATTGATAAAATAACTTATTTATTATGCTTCTTGATATTATTATCGAATTTGATATCGGATAGTTGAATAATAGTGTACATAATCGTGATAGGCAGCTGAGCAAATCGGCAATATCAAAGTAGTCAACAAATCTTTCATGCTAAGAAGGTAACAAAGCTTCTGTAAAGACCATCACCGTAGCAAAATGCTAAAAGTCGTTCGTTTTGTTATTGAATAACATTGCAATAAATCAGACAACGTATATGTAAATTAAACGTACTCCTTATTATTAATCAGATGCACTCGATTGTTAAGTTTTGGTTCATTGCTGTAACAAATTATAATAATTCTTAGTTATCAGTCAAAGTCAAGGTTCTGACAGTAGATGTTAAATGTATCGTGCCACGTACTGCAGATGTAAATGGGTTAATTGATGTAAACAATTTAATGACTTACCTTATTCGACCGAAATATAAAAATAAACCTTAAAAGGCGTGTAGCATAATATTGTAATCAAAACAAAATATTTCATGTTTATGTAATTTCGTAAATGATTTCTTCATGGCGCTGAAGCAATTGTATTACAGCTATTGAAACGTAATAAAATTGGTTTCCCGCTCTAGTTTGTTGGTGGACATTATTTGGTGGCTGCTTCTGTGCCGATAAGCTAACCGGAATGATCGCCATGATAGCGGGGTCACTCACCTCGCCCAAACGTCTGTGACCCTGTTCTGCAGGCTTTGTTTACAATAAATAACTAGGTCACGCTATTAAACACTCAATAAGGCCGGAAATGTCCACATGTGAAGTACATACAATTAAATATATCGAAAAATTTTATTCACATCTCATGGAAAACATTATCAAGTAGATACGTGCCTATCTTATCAGTTTTTCGGAGAGGAAAGTTGACGAAATTATTTTATTACGTATTACTTGATACAGTTGTATCAAGCTGTAACTCGATAGTTATTGAGTAATATCTATTAAAAGCATGTCGAAAATAGTTTTGTTTTACGGAAAAATTAACTATGTCGATCGCGTGTAAACTACATATATTTTTTATTGTATAGTAGCGTGGTTTGATGTTGGTCTTACAGTCACATGTCGGCATGAAGTGAATTATATAATTTAAACACGCAATGACAAAGATGCTGAATAATGATAGACATTATTATGATTAGCAATCGGCCGGTATAGCCGCAGGGCGGAAGCATACGGAAGGCTATGCCTATGTAGAGTCGTATCTGTACATACATAATTCGTGAGTAAAATATTACCTCTTCATTCCAACATAAATCATGCTATTTACATAAGGCGTAGGCTTCATACTTTCAATCAGATTTATACGTTGAATACGCTTAAGATTTATGTTTTTTTGTGTCAAAGATAATAGGTACACATGACATTTAAGACATGATGAAACTGATAATTGTAAAATATTGTTTGTGATTAATATGATAACTATCACGACGAATTGCGTCGCATCTAATTAATATTTAATAGTCAGGGAAACAATTAGGAAAATGTACTAATCTGTGAAATTATCAAAGACATCTAATTTTCTAGTAATTTCTTAGAAACGATTGTAATGATGATATGCTATGATGAAGCATATCTTACAGATCTTTAAAACAGTGATTGCAGAATAAAATCCGTGATAGTGACAATGACGCGATGACGGTCGTCGTTCCTAATCTTTCGATCGCAGATAAATGTTAGCCGATCTATTTATGTAGCGGAACAATAGATAATGTTTTGTGGCCTGCAAACTACAATATGAAGTTGTCGTTATGGTCCATGGATGCGGCGGCGAGGACGCGTGCCCTAGGTCGCTCCATGGCCATGCTTCACGCGTCATCGCTTGTTGTATAAGCTATACCCGATCCGTGACTACCTCGCGACCGGTGTAAATAAAACAGCTATACAAGATACCGATGATTGCACGCGTAACTAGAAACCCTACGACATTAGCAGGACCGGCCCCGCGATAGTGTAGTGATAACTTTACAACGCTATGTACTAAGTTTCCTGTAAATGTCATAAGCGGGCCGTTCCCGTTCGTTTGGGATAACGAGAATGACACGTTTGACATTGTTCTATTTTTAAGACCTGTTTTTTTAAACATCCAGCTTTCTGTTTTTTACATAACATTGCGGATGACTCAATATAACCAGTCAGTTGCAATGGCAGCATAATATTTGCCTTCATGTAATTTTATGTCCAAAAAGGTAAGGACGATTAAAATAAATCGGCGTATTTTTTCCTTGTGAATTCACATCTACATTATGCTAAATGTTGAATGATAAGAATTATCTCGTTCGTAGACGCGTCGTACGTGACCTTGGTTCATATTTTATAACGCTTCCTAGTTTCGGCAGAGCGCTCGTCTTTTTGTGAAGTTTTTGCTTTAAAATGTCCCCTTCGATATCGTAATAGCAGATAGCGATACTTATTACTTTTATCTAGTGTCAAGTCTATTGGGGCTATTTTGATTTTAATGTCATTAAATGATACATTACATTGATAACACTTTTTCTGTAGGCTAGAAATGTATGAGTATTATTCTAGTTTGACAGCATTACTAAGAGAATCCAAATATTAATTGATACTAATATTTAATAAGTTGTGGGCACTACGAGCCAATTCCATTAACTCGTCGAATACCGGTTTTATAGACACAATTAAAGAACAATAGGTCGCGGTCACCGGTGACCGCTTGGTGTTTGACAGATTAAAACCGAAAATTGTTTACCTTGACTTTTTTTTAATATCCTCACTATGAAGTTGTATTCTTTAAATATCAGCTTTTGCCAGTTTCTTCTTGTTTGATTTGCGAGTTTTTCTATTCCACAGCTGTTTAGTATAATTAATACAGATGAAAATGAATATAACGCACTTGATTTAAATATTGTTCTGTTTATCGAGACCACAATATACGTAATTTCCATCAAGTCGAACATGCAGTACTCTTGCATTAGATGTTCAGCAATTTCTGACCTTGTGTAGGTTTATCAATAATTTTGTTGTTAGCAATCTGTTAATTTTCAATTAGATTCAGTTAATTAACAATTCACATTGGTTCGTTAAACATTATTACGATTCGTATGAAGATTTCATAACTTTTTACATAACCTATGTAATAATGCCTACGTTTCTTTTTTTTTGCCACAGACTGCCATATTCTTGAGGCAGTATGCATAAAACATAGTACATTTGCATTCGATTCATGCTGAGTCTAGTAACAAATCTACAGGGCGTTGCTATAATAACAAATACTTTTCTATTGCGTTCA